AAAAAAAAAAAAAAAAGTCGTTAGTCACAAGGGTTCTTTGACTTGATCTTCTATGACAGTTTGTATGAGACCTTCCCCAGATTCTGGATGAGGGTACCGGAGTGACCCAAAAAGGATAAGATCGTGCATTAGTCTCATGCAGGTTCTATGCAGGACGGACATGGATGGACCTCCGGGCTACCCCGATCATGGCCCGGAGTTTTGTTAGTAGAATCGGAGTGTAGTTTAATATGAGGGGAATGACATGCAGAGGTGTGCTATTGAGTCAGTAAAAAGTATATTCCCCAGGAATTGAAAGAACAATGCTAGACAATAGCTGAGAACAATAGATAGTAACAACAATGGATAGTTATGCAAGTTATGCAGATAAAAGATAAGATAACAAAATGATTCCATTCATGATATCACAAGCATCTAGAACAATGCAAGCCCCTCATGCTCCTGCTCATGCATGCAGCCCGCGCATCACCTTCTTTGGAATCTCCTCAGAATTCTATGCATGTCCATCACCAAACTTGAGCCTCGTCTTCCCGAGAAATGCCGCCCTTAGACCGCGGCACATGTGTCACATCTACCCAATAAGACTTGACTAACACTCGGCAGAGGGCGCCTCTAATGCATGGTCCGGAGTACAATGCCGGGGTTTCTAGTGCGTATCGGAGGCAAAACGGACGGCGGCGGCGGAGGCGGACGCACACGCGCCGGAGTAGTCTGTATTGGAAAGTTAAGAGGTTCTTTGTAGACGATTGAGTTGGTACTTTGTGACTCAGCAGAAATAAACTTAAAGACCGAGTCTTCCCCCTCAATTCGCCTCTTTTTCCTCCCAAGCTCATCACCCAACCTTCCTACTATTCCATACCCTTATACCTTCTCCAAATATGACAAACGACTCCTCCAACAACGCCTCCAATGGCGAGAACAAGTCCTCCTTCACTGTCAAGGCAGGTCTCGCCCAGATGCTCAAGGGCGGCGTCATCATGGATGTTGTAAACGCTGAGCAAGCCCGCATCGCCGAAGAAGCCGGTGCCTGCGCCGTCATGGCCCTCGAGCGCGTCCCCGCCGACATCCGCAAAGACGGCGGCGTGGCCCGCATGTCCGATCCTGCCATGATCAAGGAGATCCAAGACGCCGTCACCATCCCCGTCATGGCCAAGGCCCGTATCGGCCACTTTGTAGAGTGTCAGATCCTTGAGGCTCTTGGTGTGGATTACATTGACGAGTCTGAGGTTCTGACTCCTGCTGATCACGAGAGCCATGTTGAGAAGAGCCCTTTCAGTGTGCCCTTTGTGTGCGGTTGCAAAAACCTCGGTGAAGCTCTTCGCCGCATTGCTGAGGGTGCTGCTATGATTCGAACAAAGGGCGAGGCAGGCACTGGAGATGTTATCGAGGCAGTTCGCCACATGAAGACCGTCAACCGCGACATCGCGCAAGCCAAGGCAGCCCTCGCAGAAGGTGGCATCGTGCGCATCCGCGAGTTGGCCCGTAAGCTCGAAGTCGACGCCGAGCTCCTCCGTCAAACCGCCGAACTAGGCCGTCTACCCGTCGTCAACTTCGCCGCCGGTGGAGTCGCCACCCCCGCTGACGCCGCACTCATGATGCAGCTCGGCTGCGACGGCGTGTTTGTCGGCAGTGGAATCTTCAAGTCTGGAGATCCTGCGAAGCGGGCCAAGGCTATTGTGCGAGCGACGACGCACTACAAGGATCCCAAGGTTCTTGCGGAGTGCAGCACGGGGTTGGGTGAGGCGATGGTTGGAATTAACTGCGATAGCATGAAGCCTGAGGAGAAGTACTCTGGACGAGGATGGTAAGGGTTTGTTTTGGCGTTTATTCAACATCGAGGAAAAGGAAGGGAAAAAGGAAAATAAAGGATACAACATCTTGGGGTATACATGAGTATTAGCGGGTGTATTAACACCATAATGAGAACAATTTTACAATGATCTTTGGTGTTGTGGCAATTTGTCAGTGTAATAAAAAATACAATATTGTGATAGCAACAACTTCTTAACAGGTGGCACTCTATGTACATGAGTTGTCTAACATCCACTCAGGTAATATGCCACAAATCCTGCCATATCATCTGGATACATAACCAGCCACACCCTTCCAAACATACAAATACCCGCCATATATAGAATGTAAACATCACACTCCTCCAAAGTTAAACACGGGGTCGCTTCTGTTTTCCACCGCCCTGTTCATCCATGGCTCTCTTCTGCCCATTCCCAACTTCGATGAGATTTCGCTTGCGATCGTTGCCCGCTTTGTTTTGATCTTTGCGCTACAAACAGTCAATATTACTCCTCCGAGGTACCGTAGGTATACTTACACGAGACTCTGCATAAGGACAGTTTGTGATTCGTGAGATCCAAGGTGCCCGAAGGGCAGAGTGAATCAAGACTTTGTTGTGCTGGAGGTGTCAGTAGTATACTGGACTATCAGAAAGGGACAACTCACTCGAAAGGCAGTCAGAATGCGGCTCTAGCGCTGTCCGAAACTGTCAAACTCTTCCCACTGAGATTCCTGGCCGCTCCATAGAGGAACAAAATTCTTTCCCTCCTGGGCACGTATAGCTTCGTTCAGGATCTTTGCGCAGAGAAGTTCAATCTCAATATCCGAAAGCTGTTGATGAATGACGTTCTTCCACTGGTCATAGATAGGAGGCATTCTCTCTGGTGGAGGCGCAAGTTGCTTCTCCGTAAGCTTCGATATATCTTCAGATAGACCTTTGGCCTTGCGATCCGTTACGAATTCATCTGTCCATTTCTTTGCCATCGCGGGACCCATCTTGGCGCGCCATTCGCGGGGAGAGGACCAGTCGCATATGGCCTCGAACATTTCACGAACGCGAGCGCAGTCGTCTTGTGGTGATCGTGGAAACGTTGGGTCGCTGGCTATACGAGTTTTTACCGCAGCATCGGGAGGGGTGGCGAGGGAGAGAAAGACAGCTTCCAGGCGATGGGCGCCCTCGCGACAGGGGATGTAGCCTTGGTATTGACGAGTGAACTGCTCTAGTTTGGGGACGAGCCAGGCTTGGTACTTGTTTTGGGAAGTAGGATGTGCGAGGCGGTATTTCTTTGGGGCTTGTTCAGTGGGAGGCCCTGGAACTGGTCGATTTAAAACAGGTTGGCGGTTCGAAGGGATCGGACGGTTGACGGGGGTTGTGAAGTTGAACCCAGGTTGAGGCTGATTTGGCTGAGGCGGGCTGATGGCTTGCATAAAAGGCTTCTGTTGTGGCGATAGGAGTCCTTGGACGTAAGGGACTTGGAAGAACGATTGCTGAGGAAAGGGTTGGTAGAACCCTTGGGGTTGATTCTCAGGCTTGAGGTACTGGGCCTGAGCTTGAGCTGGGACTTGATACCCAGGAAGACTCTGAAACAGAGCCTGATTGCTATCCGTGACCTGGGCGGGAAATTGAGTCTGAATGTGGTCATGGATAGGAAGTTGTTGCCCGGCCTGAATCTGAGGTTGAGACTGATGGTAGTTCTGTTGTTGATTCTGAACACGCTGAGCGTGTTGAGGAGTCTGACCATCTTGCTGATACTCTTTCAAAACCCGCTCAGCACTATCAACTCTTGCAGACCGAGTAGCAGGCGTAAGAGTGGCAGAAGACCCTCGCTCTTCCATGTTGCCAGACTCACTCAACGTCACCGTGGGTGAAAAGTCGTTCTCCTCGAGGAATTCCGACGGAGTGCTGAGTCGATCAAGATGCTCCTCCGGATTGATAAAGGTATCGAGAAGATCCATATTTGTCAGGTCGAATTCGGAAGTGCTCTCGTGAAAGCTCTCGTCGATCCACTGGTCGAAGCCTGGGCGGTTAGCAAGGGAAAGGAGGTGGTCAAAGTCGATTTCTCCAGCCATGATGGGCAATTCTCCAGAATTTCTGATACTGGAGAAAAGGGAAAAGTTGGGCAGAGGGATGGGATAGGGATTTATACTCTGGAATGGACTTACCAGATCTTTCATACAAAGAATGGACTTTGAGGAAGTGAAGTTGAGATTCTTGCCTGGATACTCTTTGAAGAACTTGCTTCTCTAGGTAGAGATAGGCATAAAGAAAACAGCTTGGTTGAGAGACCAATCAGAAGTATAAAGGCAAAGTGTTAACCGTCCTTTTGGGAGGATGACTTATCGAGGAATCATCCTAGAAAGTTTCCTTTGGTTGTGATGATTGCCAGAAGTTCAGATGCAGACCTTTGATGTTGACAGCGATAGCGATCAGAGGGTCATTGTTCACTTATACAACTGGGCTCTCAGTATGAACAAACGGTAGAGATACCGTTGTATTGTTGAAAGAAATGTATTCCAGGCAGGTATTGGGACTGACATATTCTGACAGGCAAGCATTTGTTATTGATTGTATTGACAAAAGCTGCCTGCAAGCATTGTTGGATGCTATTGTTAGTGAGGGGTAACTTATTGTTGGCTGGAAACGCCTCCAGCAAAAAAGCGACTGCAGCTGCCAAAGACCTGCCATGAGATTCAATCAATAAGTATGAATCCCTGTTCACCCATGCTGTGAGTTCTAGTCGTCAAAGAAGAGGCTCAGACAAGACACAGACCATGTTTGTAAAACCTCATGGTTACCTAACCAATCGGCTCAGTCACCTGTTTCCGGGAGCCTGGTCTAATGTTTCTTCAACCTGACAGGGGAAGCGGCTTGGTAAATGTGCGGGATGCTGCATGACAGGCGAAATGGCAAACATGGCCTTCTAGTGCTCAAGTCAGGTGCCAGAATAATAAAGCTCAATTAGGAGTATCCTCCCAGACTGGTTCATCTAGTTCAATGTAATCCGGGTTTCGATCCTGATTGTCTTCGCAGTCATAGGTATCATCATCGGGATCGTCGTTGCCATCATCATTGTTGTTATCAGAAATGTAGATATTGAAACTATTAGAGTTCTCAATATTAGTTCCTGGTGATAGAGGTGATGATTGATGTTCAGTAGTTGATAACTCCTGGCTGTTGGCAAAGTTCGATGGTTGACTTTTAGTCTGATCTTCGGCTTCTGCTTTGGCTTCCGCTTCGGCTTCCCATGCGATTTCTTTCATTTGTTTATGAGATGATGTGTGAACCACTGGACTCTATTAGTATCAAATTTATAAGAAGCATCTGTCAAGGAGCACCTCAAGTTTGACAGCTTGATCAGTACCACAGTGATTTACACTACACTTCTCGAATAAGCATCCATAGCTAAGATCCTGTACTCCCTGTTCCAGGATCCTGCATGATCTACCTACCCACTACATGAACAGAAACTTCCTCAAGCCCTTCCCAACTCATAGACTTCACCCTGAGCTCTTTAATACTTATTGTGACCTTAAAACAAGCTAGCTATCTTGTGAGATTTGGGCTAGTCAGACAATTACCAATGGAATGGACTGTTTGCTTCCAGCGTTCTTTATTTGTTATGTTGTACGGATAACTGCATCAGGGGAAAGAAATCTCTTGGATGTACTCCAGGTTTGTCTGCATGCAACATGCAATGGTATTCTCAAAGAGGCAGAAATCAAAGAGGATTTGTACCACATCAACCCTTAGTCAGTTCAGAAGATGTCGGCTCCAGGGGTTTGGGAAGAATTGGCACCGTCTTCTTTGCGTGGAGTGTTCAGATCTACAACTATTATCTGCTAACTATAGCTTCACTATATCCCGTATCGGCGCATACCACCAATCTTCATTATAACTATGCCTAAAGCACCATGCACGTAACAGATAACAATATAACATTCGCATCAGACCTTCCTCAGAGCAATCTAGGTATCATAAAATAAAAAACAAAGGCCAAAACTCCTTGCAACACAAATCCCTCACCATCACCCCACAACAACCATCTCATCCACCATCTTCATAAACCTCTCCCTATACTCCGCCGGATCCGCAGTAATACTCATAGGCCCCTTATGAGCAACCTTGTTAAACAGCTTAACAACCGTCGTCATAGCCCTCGCATGAAACGTATGCTTCGCCCAGAAAAAGTCCAGCACAATACACCGGTACGTCCATTTTCCTTCCACATCATTGACACCACTTCGCCAGTTTCCTGCGTCGGATTCAACAGTTGCGGGCGTGCTTCCGGCAGGATAGCGCACGAGGAAGAGTGAGTAGTCGACTGCGTTGTGCGCGGCCAGGAGTGCGCTGTCGGCGAAGAGGAGGGAAATGAGCTCTTCTTTTGCTTGGCGAGTTACACGGACTTTGTCGGGGAATTCATCGACTAGACGCTCGATTACACTATCCGGTACGAGAGCGCCGTCTGCGATGTCTCGCTCGGGGAAGAAGTAATCGTTTGGCTTGAGATCATACGTCTCCCACGTCTTACCCTCTTCACCATTTGGCTTCCCATAGAGTAAATTCTCCATGACAATATGATGCGTAGGCGCGGCACCCAACATGCCTCCCAGACTCTTATGCGGCGCATACACAAGATCCATAATCCTGACAAGCAAACTATGTGGCTGATGCTTCATGTGTCCCACATACGGATCCAACAACTCCTTGACGAAGAAATCATGCTCAAAGCGTCTAGGCAGTGATTTGATGAGAAACTTCTCATTCGCGGTAGTAAAGAAAGTAGAACCGCTATACCCCAAATCTCCAACTGGCACGAGCGATTCTTTGGTGTCGGTCTCGAAAGATTGCGCATACTCGTCCTCGTCGATCTGCCATACTTCTTTCCGCAGCGCGAGAAAGTCAACAGAGCGGTACCGGGAGAGGAGAAGTCTGAAGAGACGGAAGAAGGCGATTATGGATTTGATGAGACCTTTCTTTGAGGAGCCGTGGCGGCGACATATGGCGTTTGCTATTGAGACGGAGATGCGAGAGGAGCGGATCTTCATTTTGGAAGACGTCGATCTTTTGTTCGACGCTAGAATGAACCTAAAAGTCGACGTTTGAAGGAAGGAATTTGACTTGTGATGGTGGTGAAATTTGTTGGTGGAATGAAAAGGAAGGGTGACAAGATGTTGAAACTGTTCTGACGTCACTGTCAACAAATCGAGGATCGAGATTCGATACCAAGACCAAGACCGTGCAAGAACAAGCATCACATGTCGAAAGAAATATGAATAAATTATTGTAGAAGTTTCTGTATTTCTCATTTCATCCCGGTCATTACCGTTCCGTATCTCTATAAATATTCTGTATGTCTAGTATAGATATAAAATAAAATCCCAACACGCTCGCTTTACGCCAGTATCCAATAACAAAAAGTAAATCCAATAAGTCTTTTGTGTATCCGCTCTGATATTTCTCGTTCAGAGTAATTAAAACATAGGAAATAAAAATAAAAGAAAGACGTGATTAGAAACTGAATAGTCCACTTCTTCTCTTACCCAGTGGGTAAACAATGAGTGCACTCAAGAACAGACCAACGCTGATTCCAATGGCGACTTGAATAACCTTGAACAACACATTGAAAGCTGTCCCTTCGAGGTTACCCATGGTGTTCATATCAGTAGCGACCTTTGTGCCGTTCTTGGTGATCTCATCGGCCATGGTGATACTGGCAAGTAGTGAACCACCTGCTGCGAGACCAGAGGGAACTTGGACGAAGATAGCGGGGAGCATAGCTGCTGCTGCAAGACTGTATCCAACCTTGCGGGGCTTCTTTTCGGGATCTTGGCCCTTTTCTGGTGTGGTAGGTCGGGATTCGGGGTCTGTAAGGGTTGGCAGGGACCATGATGAGTCTGAATCGAACTTCTTCTTGGTGTAGCGTGGTCGCATACGGAGTTTCCACCAGTCGACAAAGTCGAGCCAGCCATTCTCGACGTGGCGACCCATGCGAGAGTACAAGTTTGCCAGAATACCGATTGTCAGGGCGCCCAGCATGTTGGATATTTGACCGTTGCCGCCAAAGTACTCTGCGCAGTAACTGTTTACTGACCAACCAGCAAGAGCCATTCCGACCATAACAGGAGATTGTTTCCACTTGGCTTGGTTGATGATACAGAGGCACAAAGTAAAACCTGGCACGAAGAGAAAGTACCAGCCTCGTTCCAGGGGTCTATCGCAGGTTGATCGACTGGAAGCGTTGCTGTCAATCATGCCGTAAAGGGATGCGCCGATAGTAATACCGTATCCGAGGAAGAGAGTGTAGATAAGAGCGTGGACCATACGGACACTACCAGCCACGATGTTATGACTTTGGAGTTCTAGTGAACTGCAAAGAACCATGTAACCAGGCAGAATCAGAGCGATACTACTCTGCGCTAGAGCACTGAAGCAGAATAGTTTGCCATCTTGGATAGAACCGAAGGCACGGGCGATGAACGATGTGATGACTGCGGCAGAAACTTCGAAAACGTGGGCGTATAGCTCGTTACTAGGAGCCAAGACAAGTTGAAGAATACCGACGATTGAACCGAGGAGGAAGGCAATAGGAAGATCGATGAAACGTCCCTGGAAAGCGAATGGTGCGACGCAAGCTGACGCCACACCATACAAGAACACTCGAACCCAGACGTTGTACTTTGGCTTTCGCTCGTTGACTTCGTCAAGGCGCTGTGTAGCTTCCTCGACGCCGATCTTGTCATGAACGACCTCTTTATAGATGTTATGCACATCGCGAAGACGTCCAAGATCAATACCCTGTGGAACACGCACAAGTTTGACTTCAGTTGTATGCGTAGTGCTATCGTCAAAGCTGATGATCATACAACCAGGCAGATACAAGAACTGTGCTTCAATCTCGAGGACTCGTGATGACATTGTCATGTACTCTTCCAATCGATGCGTAGGAGCACCATACATCATCAGCGCACGGCATAGCTTAAGGAGATAACGATGGCGCTGAATGATGCCCGCAATGTGGATGGTAATTCGTGCCTTGTCCCGCTTCTTAGGTGGTGCAGGAGGCTGCTTGATGTTCTCGGCCCATTTACCAGAGATATTCGCTGAAGCAGGCGCAGCAAACATGGAAGAGGATTTCATTAGCTCTGTAAGAGCAAGAGAGGAAGATGAGTGGCGGGATTTGTGGTAGTTGAACAAACCACTGGAAGGTCGAGAGCGAGGCGGTGTTCGAAGAGGCGTGCCGCTGGACGAAGCAGGTCGTGATATCGGAGGTGAAGGACGAGGCGACATGAGCGGCGTTCCTGTATCTTTCGGTGTGTTGACACCACTACCAGGAGCATTTCTATCATCGTGGTAAAGCTTTAGCAAAGAACCAAGAATACCGCCTCGGTACTGATCCGGTCTGGGGACGTAATCGTGGGCGTAAGCTTGTTGAAGCACAGGCGTAGCAGTTCCAGAAGCGTGACCTCCTCCGTTGGGATGTTTGGTGTATAAATCCTTCTTTCCCTTACGCGTGTGCGATCTGACGAGGTCCTCTGCTGCGGCGTGGTGTTGGAAGCGATCGTCGTCTTCAAATCTCGGTACACGCTGGCGAAGACCGAAGTAACCCGCATCTTCGACGGTTGTTGATTTAGGAGGTGGTGTAACTTTTGGTTCATCATAGTCTTCGATCAAAGGTTTGAAAGAGGGAACTTCTTCCATATCGATCGATCCTCTTCGTGAGCCTGGTGCAGAGTAACTGCCCACTGAGACGGCGAGTCGATCAGCTCTTTGTCGAGCATCAGCCATGGACCTGTACTGTCTCTCCGTAGTCCTGGACTCGGCCTGATCGGCCCTTTCTCGCTCACTGGGATCGTCATAACTGGTATTTCTGCGCAGTGCTGGTCTGGGTCGTTTAGGTCCAACAATTTCTGGTGTATCAGGGGCCAGACTCTGGGGTCTCTCCTGACGTTTCTTGTCCTGCTCCGCAGACAGGATCTTGGTGAGGGCGAGACTTAATTCGTAAGCATCTGGTGCATTGGGCGGTAGTTCTCCAGGGGCAAGTTTAGGTGAAGCAGCAGGTGAAAAGATGCCTTCGTCAGGATGTTGACGAGCTGTTGATTCGCTGCTTTCGCCTTTATTTTCTTTGCTGGCGTGAAATCCGACTTTTTTCTTTTCTCTCCGAGCAGGAGTATGACTTTGGCTGGTCTGACCACCACTTCCACTGCCACTCCCACTATCGTTGTGATCCGACATATTGAAAATCAAGGGGCGTATATAAAAATATTGGGTCCGGAAAGGTTCAAGTCAAGAGGACGGCCTCTCTTTTTAAGGATGGAGCCCTGAAGGCTCAAGGATGAGTAGAAGGAAAGGATGTTCATGACGGGCAAGGGAGGGTGAGATGATTTTACTATGTATGGCGATTTCTAAACTCGCTCCAGGGCGCAAAACAAGAAAAATCGAAAAACGAAAACTGGGTCTTGTATTTCTTAGAGATCGTAGTGTTGTGGCTACTACTACGTACGTGCGGACGGATACCTAGGGGGGCGGCAAACTTGCGTGATAAGGGACTGTGGGTCGCCGAGAGCAAGCCCGAGACGAGACGGCCAGGAGAGAAGTATAATAAATAACCTTGGTAGCCAGTTAGTTGATGATTGCATGATGATGGTGTGCTACTTTTATTTCGTGTCTAGTTTTAACTCGGCGTCATTGGGGCTGGATGCAGTTGGACTGGCGATATCTTTTTGGTGTTTTGAGTCATACACTAACCACTCTCTACACATTGCCTCATCATCTTACAAAGGAAATGTACGAGAACTTTCGATTATTCAATTTGTGTCACCGCTCGGCCGAGACTTGTGTAGACCAGTCACTCGTTCAACGTGAAAACCAATTGGCTCGGATAAAAAGAAGAACGAGTATTTCGTTATCATTTCAAATGCTCGGGTTACTCCATCGGGTGTAGGGTGTGACGAAGAAAAAAAAAAGAAACAAAGATAAAGCTCGACTCAGTGGACCGGGCTATCGGTATTCCAGAGGCCCTTTACGGGCTTCCAACACCGCCACGTGCGGGTCATGGTGCTCAACAACAGGGGATCAAAGCTCTAAAGTGTCCTGTGCTGAGCGGTACTTTATGCACCTGCCAGCCCTGCAGCGATCGGAAGGTTCCTTTCTCGGGGCCCGGGTAGTAATTTGCCTAGTTCCCATAGTTTGAAGCACGGAACTGGAATGCTAAACAAGTTCAATTGAGGCTCATTTATTTTAGTAACCTCTTTAGTGTTGTAAATCAATTCTCGTGGATTTTCTTTTTAGCTCGCACCATCTTGACAACACATCCACGTTGTTACCTGCAGGGCTGGCAGTTGATCGACGGTCTTGGTTTCTGAATCTGTGAGACAGAGTATGCAAGTTGACGTGCATTCGCAGCATACCAAGACGACATGAACGGTAACAGTTGTCTCTTTTGAGCGGTTAAAAAGGTACGGCACAGAAATGATCTGAGATTTAATGCATATCGTATCGTACGCGTAAGTAACGGTGAGTGTTGAACTTTAATGATGACATTCACAACACCACTGCAACCTCCAATGGATGCATGCATGTTATCTCTTCTCTCGGACCCATTGTTTTCCATTCTTTACAATCACATGTTAGAGTTTAGAAATCCAATCTTTGGGCTCCAATTCATAAACAAGGATAAGGGATGCAAGAGTCACTGAGTGGATATTCTCCCGATATTGCCGGGCTGGCCGGAGCGGAACCTAGTTGATCATAGCGTCGATAAAGCTTGAACTAGAAACCTCTAGACGAGCTGTACCTGTGCGTGCAGTTGACCATACCACTGGTAGATATTGATATCTTCAAGATAGTGTAGAAATGGCTGATTCGTCACGAGAAACACAAAGTTTGAGATTAAGTATATTTTCAAACTACTATCTAGACGCTGATTGAGTCATTTCAAATCCCATATCTCTCCTTCACATTAAACACCAGAACCCTTCCTTCACGGACCGGCCTATCATGGAAATTCCGGTTTATGCGTTTCCTCTCCCTTAGTTGACCGAAGCCTCACCAAGGTTCTGGATAATTCGGCCACCGTCGAAAAGACCGTTAGCGGCCCGAGCACGGCAGAGAGTGTTTCCACGCTCCTGGACATTGTTGTCGCACTCGAGGTTGGACTGCGCGACGCAGCTAAGTCGGCTATCACCTGTGATATTATTAGCAACTGTACCTGCATAGACTAGATAAGGAAGTGCACTTACAGGCGTTTCCACCGGGAACGCAGCGGCCAGCTTGACCGTTGGAGGCGGTGCAGGCATCCTGCTTCAAGCTGGTGTTGGCAACACAGCATTCGCCTTGAGGAACAGGACGGTTCTGGTTCTGGCGACGAACGTGGACTGCATCGCGGGGAGCGTTGCGGACGCCTTCGACATCGACGATGCCGGCGGAGGCAACGGCAACGAAGCCGAGAACGATGGTGGCGAGAGAGAACTGCATTTTGAAGATTGAAGAGGAAAGAGTTGATTATTTGTTGGTGTTTAAGTTGTGAAGTTGAAGTTGAAGTAATGGGATTGTGAAATGGACCAGCCGACCAGCGGAAGAGAAGTGAAGATAGTAGTTGATTGAAAGAGGTGAGTAGAACTGAAGAGACAAGAACGAAATGGGGAGGTTTGTCCAGTCATCTTATAGTTTTTCGTGTCTGCGATGACTCCGTAAAACGATAGTGAGCCCCCCTCGCCAAGGCATCACGTCTCAAGACTGTGGTGTTGAGAATTGACTATAGCAACTGGTCTGTATAGCTTCTAGCCGCTCAACGGAAATAGCCTATAGTGAGGAAACCTAGTCTCGAACATCTTGGCCAGTCTCGAAACGGCAATGCATTAGGATTGGATGACACGAAGAATGCCTGGCCTTCAGGTAAAACAACCTGGAAGTTCGGAAAACTCGACCAAGAAGAGAATAGTCACTAACTATCGTGAAGGAAACATCTGCCTCCTTGAGGCCGGATCTTGAACTATCCGTCTGAACTTGAGACGTGGGGCTGAGGGGACAGATTTAGTGGAGTTAGAACGTCTGTGCAAAGGTGCAGCATCTGTGCGAATATTTCTGTCGTCTTGTCTTGGGGTTTCATGTTTTCTTACGTGCTGAGTGTTAAGATATAGGCTTGGTCAAACAATTAACTGGGGTTATAGCCGAGGGTGTAACTCTGTGGTTATAGTGAGGATACTATTGATTGGTGATGATTTTACCCTACAGTAGCTCACTAGAAGTTGAATCTATTGAATATCGCAGTTATGAGAGGTGACATGATTTAGGTGTAGACATTGATCATATACATCACTTTCTCACTGAGTGTCGTCCTCACATTCTAGGTCTGGCTAAGTCCGCAAGTCAATGGATGACAAAGTTTTCCTTCATCTCATCTCATCTCTAAGATAAATAGAATAATAACATATCGAGTATCATATCAACAACCCCAAACCATACTCAACAATCACGGCTATACAATCCTGGTTAGCGCAAACCAACACCTCAACTCCACTGAGTAATCGAGTCTCGACTCTTCCATTTTACTGGGTCTTGATTCTTCTCCCCTGGGCCCTGGCCTCTCCTTACACTCACCCCAAACCAAAGGTGAATCAATGCATTCACCGAAATAAACGCCCAAGCGCCCTCGAAGCGAAATAGGTTAGGCTCATCAAGTTACATTCAACACTCACTGGGCATCAGTAATTTCTTGTCTCATCTCATCTCTTCAACAATTACAATGGCTTCTCAGAACCAGGGCCGCATCGTGCCTATGCGCGTCATTGTCTGTGGCGTTCATCGCACAGGCACATTGAGTACGTTGTGTTTTGCTGCCTTACCTTGTATACACGTGTGAAACATTTCTGATACTACCCAGGTATTCGAAACGCCCTCTGGCAACTCGGTTTCCACGACTGCTACCACATGCAATCCCTCATCAAGGACCCATCTCGCGCCCCAGAATGGATCCGTGCTTTCGAAGCAAAATACGCCAACCAGGGTTCTTTCACCCGCGACGACTGGGACCGTCTTCTCGGCGATTGCCAAGCTGTCTGTGATGTCCCCGCCGCCTTCTTCGGCGCTGAACTAGCGGAGCTGTATCCTGATGCCAAAGTTATCATTCTTAACCGTGATCCTGAGAAGTGGTATGAGAGCGTGCTTAATAGCATTTATTTGCTTACTTCGCCAAAGGATGTTTGGGGCAAGTTGAGTATGATTTATTGCTTTTTGCTGGATTCGAATATTCAGTATATGGCCAAGTATAGCAAATCTATGAAGTCGCTTGTGCAAAAGTATGATCATGGGAATGAGAAGGAGAAGGCGCTGGAGTGGTACAAGGCGCAGTATGACGAATTCCGCGAGCGTATCCCTGAAGAGCGTCGCTTTGAGTATACGATTACTGATGGATGGGAGCCGCTTTGCAAGTATTTGGAAGTTCCTGTGCCAAAGGTTGAGGATCCAAAAACTGGTAAGATGGTCGTCGTGCCTTTCCCGCATCTCAACGATGGAGAAACGTTTCGTCAGAATAGCAAGGTCATGAAGAAGAAGAGCAAGGAGAGAGCGAACCAAAATTTGCTTGCTGGTGTGGGAAGATTGGCGTTGATGGGTGTTGTCGGATATGCTGGATATCTTACGTGGAAGACTCGACTTGGAGGACGAGTCTAACGTATATCGCCAGAACTATATATTCATCTGCACTATAATTCATTCCTGTTTGTTACCCAGAACTACCTCCTTGGGTCCTCAAAATCCGGCACGCCGAGCAACATCGTTCATTTCAGCTCGATTAAGTCCCAGCATACCCATGAGCTTTTCCAGATCCCCGGCTGTCGGCTTATCGCGTCCTTCAAACGCCCCTGGGCCTTCTCTCATTAAGTTGCCAATGGCATTTCCAGCCCAGTTCTTCGAGCCATCGATATCAAGGCCTTCGACCTCCTCCGGATTAACATCCTGCTGACTAGCCTTCGTGATCCAACTTCCCATGCCACTGTCCAAGAAATCATTGACAATTTCCGTGGCGATGTTGAGGAGGCCATCATTTCCGGCGCCACGAATGCGGACGTCTTCGCTAGAGTGGCCGGCGGCTGTGGAGAAGATGTAGCCTACTACGAGGGGTAGCTGGTCCTCACTGGGAATGGAGTTCATAAATTCGGGTCCAATGGCTTTGACGAAGGCGTCTTTGAGACTGGCCAGAAGATCCTTTGAGATGTAGTGCATGTTGAAATAGTTGAAAGCGATCCTGGGGACTTGTTTGCCGATGACTTGGGCGAGATGACTTATGATCTCTTCTGGAGTTGAAGGGAGAGGTTCATGCTGGATTACGTTAGTAAGGATCCCATCATGGAAAACTGTAAAACATACCTCCTTCTCCTTGCCCTTCATGTTTGCATAAGTCTTGCCCTTTCCATCCTGCATTTCCTTCGTACGCCCATCAGTCAACAACTCAGTCACGTACGCTTTCGTCCATGGTTCACGTGTGTTGTCGACGTGAAGGCGTCTGCCGACTTTCAATGACAGCCACCCGTCAAACTTCATGTTTCGCATATTGTTCGTTTGCATAGCAGGTTTGCCGCTTCTTCTGTTAGGCGCCCAGTTTGATGCCGAAAGGCCTTTGGAGAGGGTGAAGTTTTTGAAGTACCCCTCGCGATCCTTTGGTGGTTCGCCGACGAAGAAACAAGGATCTCCTTGGTATTCCCACAAGGTTTCGAGATCATCCCACTTTTTGTCAGGGAGACGATTTTCGTTGCGGAGAGCCTGGTAGAGCTGTGCGGTGCACAGAATGCCGCCGCCTTGAGCTGCAAGTTCGACACCCTTTTCGTGGAGTTGACATCGGCAGTGGTGAAGAAGAAGGCCACAGAAGATGGAGTGGCGACGAAGGAATGTGAACTCGGGGGAGAGACCATTACCCCTTAGGGCACCCGTTTTGATCAAGTCCGTTCTGGTGGTGTACGTAGGATCTCTGTTCCACCGGGTGACAGTTTTGAGGACTTCCGTTCGCTGGGGTGTGTCCGGGAGATTAAGAAGAGCCTTTTGGATCTTCAGACTGTCCCGTCTAAGCTCCTCGTAGGCTTGGCCACAGTTGGATCCGAAGCCCTGCAGAATATCCAACCATACGTTCAGAGCCCATGGGATCCAGACGCTAAGTCTCTTGCTAAGGTTATCAAATACCTCGCCCGTGGCGCGGACGAGCTCATCCTCGACTTGGCCTCGACCTCCCCGAGTGCCGAGGAATTGAAGATCGGGCAACAAAGCCATCATGGCTCCGCGGTCCTGCGCCCACTTCTCCTTATTCGTCTTGCCTTTAGCACCGAGTTCCTCATTGTACCAGCCGAACATGCCGTTGTAAATATTGATAATGTCGACTTGCCTTGACTGTTCAACGTAGCTTCTCAGCAGTTGCAGAGTGTTGATATGCATATCTTTCGCGAGTGAGTATGCTCTGATGTTGAAAGCTTCGCCTCGACCTTTCTTCCCCGCGTCGATACCCATCATCTCACAGGCTGATATGAACAAGCTTTCCATGAGAAGGGCTGTACCCTTGAACTTGTCGAGAAGGTCCTTGACTTCATTCTCCAAACTTTGCGCCAATTCAAACGCCGTATTGGTTGCCACAGCCGCGGCAGAAACATCTATCTTTCCAGCGGCGTACTTCTTCCAAAGCTCGCTGATTTCATCCTTGATTCTCTCCAGATCGCCCAGAAGAGTGAGAAGTGCAAAAGTAGCATCCTCCAAGGTAGGCTCCTGCTCAACAGTGGATTGCACCGAGGGCTCAGGGATGATGTCTGGAGCGTTGAGGAAGGTTTCAGATGGTGTGTAGACGTTGAGGCAGTCAAACATGTTACTCAACGGTGTACTGTTCTTGTTCTCCTTGGGGGTGTCCTTGGGTTTGAACAGGCCTGCTTCCATGATGGGTTTGAGATAGTCGCGGACCTTTTCGAGGACGTTGGCAAAATAAGCATGTGTTGCATCAGAGCGACGATCACGTCGTCCAACCTGCTTCGAGAATGATCTTCTGACTATACAACATTAATATCACTGCACAGCGGACAATATCGAACAACATACCCAAAATTACTCTTTCCAAAGCAATAGCAGTTCTATGAGGAATTTCAATAGCATTGGTATCGGCGACAAACTTGGCCATATCCTCAAAGTCCCTAACTTTAATGATATACTTGCCCTCACTAGACTAGGCTAGTGGGACATCCGTCTTCAATGCCTTGGCATGACCAGGACCTTTACCCTTTCCGTCGCCCTTCTTTCTCTCCTTCCTCTGCTTTTAAGCTTCTTCAGCCTGGGCTTTTCTGGCTTCAGCGTTTTGTTCGTCAAAACCGTTGGCCTTGGCGGTGGTGGTTAGCCATGTTGCTACAGAGTCTGTGTCTGCTTTGTATTGCTGGTAAATACTCATATACGCTAGAGACAGCATGATGAATTAACTTTTGATCCGTATTGATATATTGTTTTTGTAGGTATTGGGTGGATGGTCTGCTTGGGGATGTTGTTGCTGTATCTTCAGCGGCTATTTTGATATCTTGGGAAGAGCTACCGTATTGCTTTTTTGGCGGATTCATGAATTTCCGCCGAAGCTATGGCAACGATCTGCGGACATCAGGCTACCGGGCAGCTATACAGTAAACCTGTTCCATCACTGTAATGTGATGTCTCTAGACTCTGGTGTCATTAGAATGGGCTATTGAATTCTATAAAGATGAGAATCATCCGCATGTTTAGTAATGTCACCACTTTGGGAAGGTTGAATGGGGCATGTACTCGCATGTCCTGACTCGGGAATAACTGGAATGTCCAGGACCAGGGTATAAATAGAAGAATCCACAATCAGATCGGATTCATTACGGTCAATGCACAACTTTCATAGTAAAGTACAAATGTGTTACCCCCACGCCTTGCACACGTGAGGAAAATGGTCTGCAGTGACCCGTTGTCGAAGTCTTTGACTCTGATCGCAACCATCGCATGGCAGTAACTTTTATGTTTATTATTCCATCAATCATACCTGCAGCTTATGGTCAGTCTTTCTCGCTCTAATGCACTTTATTCTTAACTGAGTAATTGTATACGGACTCTAGTAATAAACAAAGTGGCTGTACAGCTCCATTACAACACAACCTTCTCCTCACCTTTAACCCCCCACGCTCCATACCCGGGGGACTGTCTCCCCTCCTGTCTCCGTTACACTGCAATTCAAGATCGTCATTGGTCCTGTAGAGCGTGGGGGCTTTTACGGAGCAATGATTTAGACACCTTTTGTTTGGTCAATTGGAGGCTTGGGGGAGGGATCAGTTGACTGTGATCATGAACTCGTACCTGCTTCTGCGAGGATCATCGTTGTGTGAATGTAATGGAGGGCATCCATGGAATATGCTCGACATACCTGTTGTCTCAAATGGGTGTCTAATGGTGGCGCTGTCAGTTGAACGCCATCATATGTAAGATGTGTAACTTGCCGTACAAGTCATCATCACACGATCAAATACAAGTTGACTTCAAAACCCCCCACTGAGTCTCCATAAACAAATCGTGTCTCGACTCTTGACTCGCGTCCTGTGTCTCTATACAAACATCAGGCGAGGTCACCGGTTCGGTCCGGAGTCTCTCGGCCGGGGGGTGTGTCTTTTGTATGCGGATCCCCGGAAGCATCAATCGGGACACTTTCTCTTCCCCGCCTTTTTCAACCCTGGGCTGATCCTTGTTTCTTTGCGTCTTGGCTCTCTAGCTGACTGACCCCCACGCTTTCTTTCTTTGAAAGCAGAGTTGAAATTCCCCAACTTTGAGGCCCTGGGAAAGAAAGCCTCATGACGAGTGCGCCACTTGCTGCTTTCGGTTGGACATAAAAGAGCAGCTGACGCCGGCCGCTTTGACGATGGATCTAATTACCATCAGACTATCCTTTCTCGACTAGCATTTGTTCTGCTTTGCTTGTATAAAAGACAGTATACTTCCTCTTATTATACTTGATTCTTATTCTCTATGCCTTCGACATTGCTTGAATCTCCCACAATGGGCTCTCCTAAAGCTTCCCATCTACGCCTCGGCGATGGCGTTTATGTTCCTACCCTTGCCTTCTTCACACCGGAAGACGAAGTCGATGTTCCCGCTCTTGAGAAACATGTCATCAAGTTGCTTGAGTCAGGAGTAGCTGGCATTGTCGTTCACGGTTCCAATGGCGAATGCGCCCATCTCTCTCCATCAGAACGTACGACTATTATTCGTGTTGCTAGAGATACCATCATCCAAGAAGCCAGCGGTACTCGAGTTCCACTCATCGCTGGTTGTGGCGCTCAGAGCACAAGAGAAACGACAGAGCTGTGCGAAGATGCTGGCAAGGCCGGTGCCACTCATGCTCTTGTGCTACCTCCAAGCTACTACGGCGGTCTTCTTCCCGACGATCTGGTTGTTCAGCATTACTACGCCGTTGCGGACAAGAGTCCTATTCCTCTTTTGGTGTACAACTTTCCTGGTGCCGCAGCTGGTCGCGATCTCTCATCGGATACGATTCTTAGCATCGCCAAGCATCCCAATGTCGTGGGTGTCAAGTTGACGTGTGGAAACACAGGCAAGCTTGCTCGTATCGTGGCCGACTGTCCCGAGGGTTTCTTCGTTGGTGGCGGCAGTGCCGACTTTATCCTGCAGGGTCACGCGGTGGGCGCCAACGGAACCATCTCCGGTCTCGCCAACCTCTGTCCACGAGCATGCGTTCGCATCACAGAGCTCGCCGATGAAGGAAACTGGAAGGAAGCACGACAACTACAAGCCAAGGTAGCCAAGGCTGACTGGACGGCGATCAAGACTGGCTTTGTTGGTGTCAAGGCAGCTTTGGGTCACTTTGCAGGTTACGGAGGTGAGCCTCGCCGACCATGCGTTGCGCCCTCTCAAAAGGATCTGGATAATATTACGCAAGGATTCCAAGAGATAATGGAACTGGAGACAACGCTATGATTGGAGAGCAAAAAGCATGTTTTGACAGGAAAGACAAAACAAAAAGCAGGTTTGCATTGCGGCGGTGAATGATGATGATGACGATACCTGATTTCAAGCACGAGATGGTGTTGTGGCGTTGGGCATACACAGCCTACTGTTGAAGTAGTAATTAGCATGTAATATACCACATTGACCAAACTGCGTTACACTAAAGTTGACACGAGAGTTACAATTCTTGCATTGCAGCACAGAACAGTGAAGTCGTCGTAATTCGGGGCGTATTTTTACCCCATCGAAACTACCGTTCCCCGCAAAGTGACCACATATCCCACGCATACCGTGTAACGAGGAAATGCCTCGGGAATCGGAGGATTGGATCGTGGGGGGAAAGCCGAAAAGAATAAGCATGGAGTGTGTCTCGTGGTCAATCCTGGATAACCAATGAGGTATTCAGGCACGTCTGACATTTCCGGATTTGGAGGAGTACTTTTTCGTGTAATATCGGGATGATGAAAAGAATGAGGGGTAGATCATGATGTTGAGTACCTATTACTTTATGGCTCTGGAGACACAGTCATTCGGATATGATGGAGGTTATAAAACTCGACTTAAGAGGTGAAGTATACCTATGTAGTACCACGCCAAACATACGCGTGTTCAGTTGTTCCTACTTTCGAGAGCCCATCCACTGCGTATGATTCGAGTATCGCTATTAGTTGTTTGATATTGTGGTGTTCAAGGTAGCAATTGTTTCATTGCTTCCATCACTTCAGGTATCTCGATGGACAATGTTGAAGTGATGCCTCTTACAGCGGAGGATGCCCCACATCAGCTTCCCAAGTTGGACCCCTACCGGAACCATAATTAATCCGCCTTGAACCCCTCCAAGAAAAAATGATAGTCACCGCCTAAAAGTTCTGCCCCACCCTACGATTTTCTCAAGACGACACCAAAAAAAAAAAGTTGATCAAAATCGTCAACCCAAGCCAAATCAAATCGACGAAAATGCCCAAAGCGACAAAAGGCAAAAATGCCGCCCCCCGAAAGGGCCCCTACGAGAAGCCCGCCGCAAACAGGGTCTTCAAGTTCAACACAAACATCGGCCAGCATATCCTAAAGAACCCCGGTATCGCAGATACCATCGTCGCAAAGGCTAACCTCAAGCCTACGGATACCGTCCTCGAAATCGGTCCCGGTACTGGTGTGCTCACCACGCGAATTCTCGAGCAGGCTAAGGCTGTCAAGGCTGTCGAGCTGGATACTAGGATGGCGGCTGAATTGACGAAACGAGTGCAGGGTACGCCGCAGCAGCAGAAACTCGAGATTATTATGGGCGATTTTGCAAAGTTGTCGCTTCCTGAGGCGCTTCCTCCTATTGATGTTTGCATTAGCAACACACCTTACCAGATTTCGTCGATTATCATCTCCAAGCTTATCTCGCTACCTAAACCTCCACGAGTTAGCATTCTCATGGTTCAGCGAGAATTCGGTCTGCGATTGTGCGCCCGCGCCGGTGATTCACTGTACTCTCGTCTTTCCGTCAACACCCAATTCACATCCAAGGTCTCCATGGTCGCAAAGGTCGGCAAGAACAACTTCTCTCCACCTCCTGAGGTCGAGTCCGTCGTCGTGAGGATAGAACCTCGAACAGATGTCCCCGCTGTTGGACTCGAGGAGCTAGACGGTATGCTGCGCATCTGCTTCTCCCGAAAGAACAAGACCCTGCGCGCTAGTTTCATCGACTCTCATGAGCTTTGCGAGCGAAACTGGGTTACCTGGACGGCTATGTACCCTGACAAGGTCAGCGAGAAGGATCTGGACATGCTCCGCAACAGCATGGACACCGATGCCAAGGCCGCCGACTCTAAGCAGAGCGTGTGCGGTATCCCTGTCAGCAAGGCTTCTCTCAAGAACTTGATTCGTCACAAGATTGAGACTGTCCTCGAGACTACCGAGCTTGCTGAGGCGCGAGCTGTCAAGTGTGACGAGAATGACTTCTTGAAGCTTATCTTGGCTTTCCGCGAGAACAACATCTACTTTACATAAAACGATCGATACCCAAAAAGTTAAAAAGTTTATTCCAATATTTCACCTGGGGAGTGCTACTTCTGCCGCACCAGACGGCCCACACCCGACAAGCGCTGCTTCCACTCCTTGCAGCGTCAGACTTAGATCAAGAATTGGGCTTCGGCATAAAAGCGAGAAAGCGATTTGAGGCCGCCCAATGGATATACAGACCCCATGTCCGAGACCCTTCGACAGGACGAGCCCGAGTGTGGGGAAGCGTGGGGGTTTGCACCGCAGGCAAGACGGTGAGGAGAAGGTCAAGGAGTCCCCGAGTCAGGCCAGACATAGGTTATGCTTGCACAAGAAGTCTGAGCATCAAATTGGGCTCGAATACAGATGTAATAAGATACCCTAGAATTCTACTATGCATGCCCCCCTAAAAGTCTGCCGCGTCAAAGTTACGGATCAAGTCATAGTAGAACTTGACGATGTCCATGTGTGAATCTATTCTGATTCTTTCGTCCACGGTATGGATGTTCTCTGAACCGCGTTGGCGACTGGGTGTCCAGCGGTAGATGTTTGGCGAGAGGTCTATACTTGATTAGCATACACACTGTGACTATGGCTGTTGGACTTACTCAGATAATGTCTAGTATCAGTGTTTCCAGTCATGATTTCACCAACGGGCACAACCTTTCCACCCTCAAAAGCAAAGCTATGCTGGATCGTTCCCGAGAAGATATCCCAGACTGCTCCGCTTGTAGGCGAAACTGGTGTAACGACCGAGTTCTTGACAGCAGTGAGCTTGAGATGACCATCGTAGTCAAAACCCGTGTCGTCTGCAAAAGCATGTGTCTTGTCATCCTCGTAAGCGCTTACGCTGAGATTGTACTTTTGTACGACGGAGTCAATGCTCTTGAGGAATTGCTTTTGGACTTTCTCGTGGCTATCCTGCGGTGCAACGCGGTAGTTTACGCCTAGGTTCACAATCTCGGGCATGGCGTTGATCTTTTGGCCGCCGCGGATGATGTCGACTGCTTGCGTTGTCTGGATAGTGAATTTGGCGTTAGGATCGAGATGAATCAACTCAGTCGTCAATTTCTCCAGATCGTCTTTCTTAAGCAGGTCGTCGAGTTTGGGGTGAGCATCGGGAGAGTGACGTGCCAAGCACACGAGGTGGTTATACACAGGACTGCCCTTCAGAATAGCAGGTTCGTAAGGATTCGCTTCCAGAGCGAACACAATCTCCGCCATGATACCGATTCCAGTGTGAGGATGAGGAATAGAGCTATGTCCACCCTTAACGCGAAGTTCAGCCCAGATATCGATCGCGCCTTTTTCTTGCACAGATGGAAGAACGTAGAGCGTATCGTCAATAAGCTGAATCCCCGAACCACCTTCATCGAGAATAAACGGGATACCGTTATCACCATACCTCTCTGTGAGGAATTCTCCGATTTTGGCGGCGCCGCGAGGACCAGAGCATTCTTCGTCAAAGCCAAATGCCAGAATCAACGTGCGCTTGGGAGACCACTCAGTCTTGGTGAGTAGCGTCTCGATCGATGACATGATCGCTGTAAGACTGTTCTTATCATCGGATGCGCCACGACCCCAGAGCCACTCGCCGTCAAAGTAGGCGTCGAAGGGGGGATGAGTCCATGTTGATGCGTCCGGTACTGGAACGACATCTTGATGAGCGGCCAGCAGATAGGGCTTTAAAGAAGAGTCGCTTCCGTGAAGAGTATAAACAAGGCCGAATTTATTAATTTTCTCCAACTTGGCAGTCTTGTGTCTGCAAATTGTTAGTCTCACTCATAAGATTCGTAGGGATGACTTACATGGCAGGATACGTCTTTGCCAAAACATCATGTAAATCATAAAACGGGGCCCAACGCGGATCTTTATCTACATCATCCAGATCATCATAACAAACCGACGGAACACGCACGATCGCCTGATGACGTCTTACTTGAGTATCGAACGCATCTTTGGAGTCAAAAAGAGCGTTTGCGCTGGGAAGATTGTCGTTCTGGGGAGTGAGAACTGGAGGGAGATCGCATGTAAAGTCTTTTTGCTGGCCAATTGGCTTTTGTGAGGTAAACGGGTTAAAGGTGAAGGCTGATGTGCTGGTGAGGGTGGCTAGCACCGCGAGAGATGATTTGAGTACCATTTTGAAGATAACGGTAGAGATAGGTAGAGAGCCTGAGAGTTGGTGTTGATGAAGGATTTATAACTTAGAGCGGGGAATAGGGAATAGGGAATAGCACGACATGCCGAAGCCGGCGTGGAGATAAGACTGACCCTGTAAGTCAAGTCAAGTCAATCCCAATGAGGCAGTTGGTTCACTAATATTTGATCTAAAGAACTTTTGAAGCGTTGTTTTGAATTTATCGCTAATGTGTGACGTTATGAATCTCTTATGTCCATGTAACGGTATCAGGGTCTCAGAATTGACCTCCGAGTCTAAAAGACAAAATAATTTGGACATAGTACACCACCTTTTATCCTTCTTTATTTTGACACCCTAAGCTCAATTCTTCTGTCACCCATCTGATACCGCAACTCACACTACTAAAACAAAGTAACTTGATTCCTGGTCTAGTGGCAACGCAACACTTCCATGTGCCGACTCTTTGCCTTTATGCCTGTCTCTTGACCTTGGTCCTTTCCGATGACTCTGTAGGCCGAGGCAGGGTGCATGATCTGGTCCTTGTTAGACAAGTACGTGAGTACTTGTCCGGTAGAGGCAATATCCTCCTTTTTCACCGGTACAACAAATTCCCGTGCATCCGTTCGATTGAGGCACACTGATACGGCATTCCACTCCTTGACTACTCCATGGGTAAGGGATTCGATATCTGTTCCACACCAGGTGATCTCCCCAACTGTGTCCTCGACTCGATAACGAAAGACACATGCCCTCTCTGCTTCGCCATTCCACAGCTGGAGCATCTGGAGTTTGGGCATCTTTCTCGCCGCACGAGCTACCGTGCACAGAAGCCTGGTGATCTCCTCTTCAGTACCAGTCTTGAACACGTCTGATGTTAGGGAAATGGTCTTGAGATTAGGCCATTCTCTGAGGGAGCTGGTCGCTTCCTCGTTGGCTGAGGAGAAAGGGCGGAAGAATTCCCTGGCGTCTACCATATGCGAGATAGAGAGATGCTCCAGGAAGTTGGTATATTGGCGAAGAGCTTTAGCGAAGCTTATAACATTGGTGCCTTTGCTCTCCCATTGATGAATGACAGTGTTCGTTTCGCCGTAGAGACTGAGACTCTTGGTAGATCTTGGGAGTTCCCTCGCGAACGGGATTTGTGCCTTTTGGCACCAGATCTTCTCCTTGAAAGAACCAGGGCAGCGCCACCGTTCGATATGGATGTCTTCGATGCCCTCGAGACTTGAGAGAATGGTGTTCAGCGCGGTGGGACAGATGCCGTGGAACTGCTGGCGGCGGATGAGGAATTTCGATACAGCTGTGACGGGAGGTAACTCCCACTCGTGGCCGACGCGTAACATCCGCTCGTTGGTGAACTTGAGAGGTTTGGTACCGAAGAGTCTGTCGACAATCTTGGTCCAGACACGATCCCGCACCTCACTAGAGGGAAAATCGACACACTCTGATACGGCGTTATGAACGCAATTGTACCTCTCATAGATATCCTCTTCTTCATCATACTGGTCAAGTTGGCCTGAAGAGAGATACTCTTTATATAAGCGAGCTTCATTGTCGATAAAGCAGTCAGAATAACACGCGGACGAGGCGCTGAGTTCCAAAGTCATGCCCTTCTGTTGATTCCAAGTGGAGATAACATTCCATAGCGCAACAGCTGACATGGTAAAATTCTGGTTAAGAAGTTTGTACATTCCAGGACAGTCCGGCTCTAGGTTGATGCTACAGGGTTGACTTGTCAGGGGTATTCTGAGCCAAAGGTGCTTAAGATAGGCACGTCGACGGGGGGTGACGATAGTTGCCAGGGACTTGATGTCGTTTGGGCATATACTAAGGGTTCTGAAGGTTTTGGACTCGAAGAAGTCGTTCCAGTGCTTATTTACACAAGCATAGGGGGGTAGGTCGCATTTGGGAGCAAAGTCCCAAGAGCTCGGGATGGTATCTTCGAAGATGAAATTAAGAACCATCGTCTGCAACTCCACGGGAAGAGAGTAGAAGCGAAACATCGTGACTGGAAGGTTGAGATGTTGTTGCAGGTGAGAGTTGATGGTATGTGCCAAATGTGGGTGAGGATGGTCGAGATGATAATCCGATATACGAATCAAGGTTCGAGTGTCGAAAAGAGAAGTGAGAGGTACTTCCGCAGGGAAAGGAGAATAGATGATTGAACAAGCGAGAGTATTGTAGGTGTGAACAATAATAGAAAATGTGTGAACAATAGTGTGATGAGAAGTAAAACAGGAAGAACTGCTCACAGAAGAATAAGGGGACTATATATACAAACAAACAAAAAAAGTTTAAGAGAGAAAATTTTGATGCTGAAGGAGTTTTTCATCAAGGTTAAGGTGATTGATATCTTGCCATTGTGCGAATAGGAGAGTTCAAAGGTAAACTTTAGCTGTACACCTGATACACACAGAGTTGCCAGAATGTTAGGATTCTGTTGATACTCTATATTATGCATATTTAGATTCTGGTACAAAGATTGAAAGCCATCTAGGTTTGTTCCATGCGTTGAAAGGTCATGAAAGACAGGGAAGTAAACTACCTATGTACCGTAAAGCATTATAGCGGGAGCTGTACAATATATATCCTAAAGAAGAAAAGATTTTAATCCTCAAGACTTGTTTTCTGAAGATTATGTGGAAACTTACAAGATATTACTCCTTGGCATGTTATTTCACTTGCCAGCTGTTAGGCAGTGCTGGACAGATGCCGATAGAACAAAATGTATGCAACCCTGTGATAGGTGGATAATGCTTTGAATGTGAACCTAAATACTCGGGATTTGATTGAGATAAAGAAATAAGGTTGTGAGAAGATGACTGCGTGTTGGTGTGGGGATACTGGGCAGTGGTGAGGCATCAGGTAAGGAGTCATGGAAGAAGTTTGCTTGATTTAAGGTATGAGAGCCAACCCATGTTCCTGCTCCAGCGAGGGATCCAACTCTTCCATCTCTACAAAGTCAAGGACAAAGCAGAATAGAATGCTGTACACTAGAGTACTAAGCCTCCTATGCTAGTAATAGAGCTCAGCCAGCTGATAAGGAATTGGAAGAATAAGCTACTAAAAGGCTGAAGAGACGAAATAGCTTGGTTACTTCATGCAGCTTAGATCAGTACGAAGTTTGGGCAGTACCGAGTTTGGAGAAGCATTGCATTTCACGATGTTGATATCCAGCACATAAGTATAAAATAAACGTAATGATAATTGATCTAAGGATAATTGATCCAAGGGGTTTCAAGTAGTAGTACCAACGACTCCAGTGCTGTGGTTATACAATGAAAAGACAAACGCCTCGTATGCATACACTCCGTGTTTACAAACAATCTCCATGGAGTAACTCCCTTAAGCAATAACAGACTCGACTCTGGAATCCTCGCCAGAGTGTGACTCGCTGTTCCTGGGCTTCTCCTGGCCGCCGTGGAAGTGAGAGTCGTCTCGCTGCTCTCGGGTGATGTATCCCGGAGGCACCCACTTGTGACTGTTCCAAGGCTTGAGGCCCTCTTGGCCGTACATGAGATCGACATTCTCCAGACTGAGAGCGCGAGACTCGAAAAGGAAGAACCAGACGAGAAGGGCAGCCGCCAGGTTGGTTCCGACAAAGACGAAGCCGTAGCTGTAAGCAATGCCTCTGGTCGCAATGGGGGTAAGGAAAGCAATCATGACTGGAGATATGTTAGTATTAGATATCAATTGTCAAGGTAGAAGAACTTACAGTTTCCGAGCCAGTTACCGGCGGTAGCAATAGAAGCTTGCTTTGCGCGAGTTCGTAGAGGGAAAGTTTCGCCGATAACGACCCAAGCCATAGGGCCCCAAGTACTGGCGAAAGAAGCGATGAACATACAAGCGCAGACAATGAGAACGATGCCAACGGCTGGGCTGCTCTGGGGGTCGATGGCAGTGCCAACAGACGCGAAGACGCAGAGCCATCCGGCTTGCCAGAGAGCACCAATGAATAGGGGCCAGCGACGACCGAATCTCTCGACGAACCAGAGACCCATGAAAGTAGTGGCGACATTCACAGCACCCAGAATAAGCTGGGTCTGGATAGGGTCCTCGATACCAGCCGACTCGAAAATGGAGGCACCGTAGTAGAAAAAGTAGTTGACACCGGTCCACTGTTGGAGGAAGTGAATGAAGAAACCGAGGAATGTTCGCCAAAGAAGCTTGGGAATGTTGCTTCGGGGGTTGAAGCATTCGCCCCAGCTACCTTGGCCGACTTGTCGCTCCTTCTCGAGAATGTCCTTCATTTCCTTGAGGTCATCCTGGACAAGAGGGTGGTCAAGGTTGTGCTTCATACCACGAAGACGACCCAATGCTATTTGAGCGCCTTCCCAGTCGCCCCGAGAAGCAAGCCATCTAGGAGACTCTGGGACGACAAGGATACCGAGGCCGAGAGGAAGAGAGAAAAGGATGCCAAGGCCGATGACAATTCGCCAAGAGGCGCTGCTGGTGTCCATCCTCTTGAAACCGTAACATGCTATGTTGGAGATGAGAATACCGATGGTGATCATGAGCTGGTAAGAGGCAACAACGGCACCGCGGATTTCTCGAGGAGCACATTCGGACTGGAACATGGGGACACCGACAGACAGGTTACCGACACCCAAACCAGCGATGAATCGACCCATCATCATATGAACCCAAGACTCCATCGCCGTAATCTGAATGACATTACCAATGATGAAGACAGCGACTCCGAATGTCATACTCTTTCGTCGACCCCACCAATCAGCGGTACTATTGTTGTTAGTCGATGATATCGAGGAGGATGGTTGAAGGAACATACTAAGCACCAGAGAGAGCGCCGATCAAACTACCAATACTCATGAGACTAACAAGAATAGATTGGATGTAAGCGTTCCATTCCTTGTTGCCCTCAGGACCTTGAGCGAATCGATCCTTGAAGTCTTCGAACAGGAGCATAGAACTAATTTGACCTGTATCGTATCCGAAAAGGAAGCCACCAATGGACGTAATCACACCCAACAGGATGGATTCTATACCACAGTCGGCGCCATTGACCTTGATAGACCTGGAGGGGGACGACAGTTAGTATTGGACAAGAGAGAGAAGAGTGACAGAGTGGGTACATACTTTTGACCCAACATGATGAACGACTGCCTAGCTGTTGGCAGAGGAATTCAAGAAGGGAGATAAAACTAGAGTGAAGATCTGTTTGTGAAAAGCATGCGGAGGTGGGAGGGAGAGGGTCTTTTATTCTTCAGACCCCAATGCAGAAGACAAGACCCGGGGTAGAACAAGAGAAGAATGAAAGCGGAGTGGTATCAGAGAAAGGATGGAGACTCCATCAGCTGGATGGAGCCTGTAGCGCATCGCGTCTGATTCACGGACGAACAAGCGAGGAAGGATCAGTCGGGGGTCCCGGTGTGCAAGTGCGAGTGCTGGAGCAAGCGCAGGTGCAGGCAGGAGCAGTTTCCATCTCTGGTTGATGATGAATGGGGCATCATTTGGTAAACTTGGCAGTCGTCATGGGGGGGAGATTCGGAAACCATCAATGGGCGGCCAAGTTCAAGTTCGGCCGTTGGACCAGGTGTCGATCACATCACCTCGCTGAATTAGTGCCCTGTAGTTGGTATTGGCATCGCGGTAACATCGTCAAAATGAGGTCTCAGATCCATGTGGTTGGTCGTTAGTCTGTAACGAGACTGAGGATTGAAAGGGCCGATGTCAGTGGCGTTTGTTTAATCCTTCTGATCTGGGGTTTATTGACTCCAAACGCATCTCTGCCACAGCCTACAGCAGGCATAAGAGACGAAATTATTTGGTCACTTTATGCTAGCTTAGACTAGCAGTTAGTTTACTTTATTATGAAGGCCTATTCTTCTGTTAACCACCTGAGCAGGTACTCCTGCCTCGGGGATGGGCCGGTGCAAGGCGAACGACACTGGCCTGAGCTGGTTGCCCTGGGGGTATAGGTAGGTACGGTGTTGCGGGTTATCCACGGGGAACGAGTCAAGAAAGTGCAGGGGCCGCATCCGTTACTGACGGAGTGACACTGATTGGATTTCTGGAAGAATGTGGATGCGAGCTTTTTTCCCTCTTCCCCCTTGGCACAGACAACAGTAAAGTTTTCTGGGGTACGTACCTGAGCCTTGGTAATAGTAAAACAGCTGAGCGTTGAATGGTAAAACTTGGCGAACGAAAATTGGTGGTGTTTAGGATTTGACCGATGACGTACTCCGTAAACTGTCAAGGAAGGTAAGCTTAAACCCCAGTGTGGCCCAATTTGGCAAGACCTCATATTGACCAATCTCTGGGCCTACGGCATAGTTCTCGGTGCGATATCAGACACAGGCTCCACGTCGATCACGGGGTCAAGGATGAAATACGCATGAGAGAAGCATTGCATTCCCCCAATCTCCAGACTCTCTCCAGCTTCTCTACAAAGTGACACCGAGAACAAAGACGTTGTCCCAAAAAACCTTGATTCTGAAGCGAAATTCCGGGGAATTCATGCGGAGAAGTTGCGTTGTCCCCAAGATCTTCGAAAACGTCTTTTCGCATTGCATTGCATTTCCATCGATGTCACTTGGGTTTTCTTGCGTATCATTCATCGCCAAGGCAGAGAGATATGTGGATCATCGTTCTCGATGATGTCTTGGCCCCTGGTAAAGTAAACAAGTACCGGCATATTAATTGAAAGTTTCTAACACGCTAACCAGAAAAGTTCTTACAGGGCCTTTCAGACCTGAAAAATCGTGTAATTCTTTCCGTTCTCCCGTGACTACGTCTCGTACAAACTGCTTACCTACAAACAATAATGCATTGATCAAAGCCTACATAAAAAAATCTACTCCGGACCCGCATTATATTTCGGAAGCTCCTAGACTTCTCCACCCGGAGCCGTGGAGAGCCGGCCGTTTACTCGGAGCTTCATGCCTGTCGCTGGAGAACGGACGTACGTCCCAACGTCCACCGTCCACAATCTTGAGAAAACGGCCCGTTTGTCGCATGTTAAAATATCTCAATCGAGAGGAGGGGCCCCCTATTCTGCGCTTCCCCGAGCGAATCGAGGCCAATGCCCCCATTCCCATCCCCAATCTTTCCCCCACGAGCCACAACTCCAGAGTTTTGCAGAGAATCCGGGACCGTAACATCTGGGGACTCCTCATTCCACTCCGCGTTCCCTCACCCAGAGCGGCGGAGATGAAGGACTTGTGAAACGCCAGCTGACCGTGAACGGGCCCTACAGCCCGGCGGTAATTCGGCGCTGCCAGACCGCAGTTGACAAAGAAGAATCGTAAAAGTCAACTCGTCACCCGTATTTTCTTCTTCGACATCCGATTTTCTGGACAACTACGGGGTTTACTTTTTTGGTATTATCTTCCGAGTAGAAAAATTCTCGTTCCAGCCCAATCTCGGTGAGCCGGTGAACAGGAGATGCAGTCGGTCAGCTGGATCTTGTGTCTAAGCCAAGGGACTTTGAAAAGGAGAATGACCCAGCTCGCATAATGGGGCTCATTCGATATCTGGATCGTGGCATGGCATAATTGCCCCTATACTCGTATGCATAGCCTCTGTTGGCCAAGATACACGTGGTGGAGAAGAGTGCAAACTTTGTAATCCAAGGGGGATTCTGACTGAGATGGACTGCAGACTCTGACCCAACAGCTGTTACAACTTTACAACTGAACTACTGACAATCATGCGAGTTGTCTGCCTACTAGAAGTAAGCTTGATCATGGTTGATGCTTCTTGTCAGTCACTAGAAGAACAAAGTTGAGGCTTACAAGTGCCTCAACAACTCAACGGTATCAGATCATAACCCCTTTCTGTCTAGGATTCTTAGATCTTGGCTTTCACAGCGTATGACCACAAGTACATGCACTTTTTTCTCGCTTTTCTACAAATCGGATTGTACAGTTCATACACGAGAAGTAGATAACGACTATTATCTTTCGATATCTACTAGACAGCTGGGCAACAGAAAAGTGGTCCTATCAAGCTTAGGGTGCCAAAATAAAGCGGTCTAGAAGTAAGTCGAAACCGACAGAAAATGGTCAGACTATTTCGTCTTCTAGGCTCTTGAGGGCCAACTCTTCTGACACCCTGACGGCACAGTCTAGCCGGTGCAACACTAATGCACGCCTATTTCCGAGTCATAATTGATAAGGCTTCGGAAATCTGCATACGGAAAGCCGGATGTCTATGTGAATGAGGTTTATTCAAAATACGATCAAGGTTAAAGTCTTGCCACACATTGAAGCGAGATCAAGCGAGGAACCACGTTGGTCATGTGGACAGCATAGCATGTTAAGGATTCGGATATCTGCAAAGGAGGTCGGATGTTGCTGCTATTCTTGACTTGTCTGTATCCTGGCTGGCTGGACTGCTTGACATCCATGTATCATGCGCAACATGTCGATGGGTGGATAACAATCTGTAAGACGACCACGGTTGAGCGGGAAGATTGCGACGCTGGGACAGGCTCTGTTATTGTTACAAAGAGCACAAGAGATAATTCCTGAAAATTACCTGGAGATATACTTAGTGGGCGATCAGAAAAGAAAACACAATTGAACGGTACAAAAAAGGGAACCCTCTAGGACTCGAACTTGTGACATCCAGACGTGATAACAAAAGATATGTCACCCAGTGCTGGGTCTCACGTCCAAGTCCTAGACTTTCTGTCCCATGTTTGCCCGAAGGCAACAGCGACGAAGAAAAATTGATATATAAACAATACTCCGTACTTTGAGTTCAGATCATAACTTTAAAAATATAAAATTGTTCTCCAGGTTCAAGTTGCTAAACCTGGAAATTATCACGCCAAAAGACCACATGATAAGTCATTGTCGATCAGCATAGGGTAGTTAACTGAACCCCTGCAAGACAATCTCCACCCGCCCTGAATATCTCTGGGCCTTTCTGGGGTTCATCGTTAAACTCTTGATCGATCGGGTCTTGATGAACTGGTGGAGGATACTGCATGAGACCCTGAATCAAAAATAAATATAACATCAATTGCAAATACTGTATCTGATCTTGAATACCATCATCAAAATACCATTATCCAAACTCTATCATGAAACTACTCGATCTAATCTCGGCACGAACGGACCCCCTCAAGCCACATTTCTTAATCTCCCTTGAGCCGCACAGATTCAACTCTCAAACATGTCAACATGACTTACTACTGCAGCGATTGTGACAAGCTCTTCTTCGCAGGCCGGCATGCCCGTGATCAGCACTGTCAAGCAACAGGTCACGCGCTACCCGCCTTTGAATGCGACTCGTGCAGCGACTGTTTCGACGATGAGTATGATCGCTGCGAACACATGAACCTGGAGCAGCACTGGGCTGAGAATACGCCTGAGTGTACCATCTGTATGTTCCACGCTGTGACGGAGGAGGATGTTGTGCGGCCTGAGGTTGAGGAGCATAAGTATTGCGCTGATTGTAAGCGGACGTTTATGAACTTGGACTGTATCCGACAAGTGACTAAGTCGTCGAGTTAGAGACACAAGGTTCTGATGGGTGTAGCATTTGAATGGAAAGATTCATCGTACGTCGTCGGTGACTTGTCCTTTCTGCAAAGCAAAATGTTAGACAGCAACCGGACTCTCTCACCATCTTGAGCGAGGCGCATGTCCTCGCATGTCCATGAACCGCCACAAGCTATACAATTACATCAAAAACCGCGACCCCAAAGGGACCTTGACGAACAAGACTCTAGCGTGGGAAGGAGAAAAGACGTACACGATCAACCCGCGTCTAGCGTGGAACCACTGGGTGAAAGCGTACGAATGTTATCTGTGTCACAAGCTGTACTCTTCACTTCATGGTTTGAAGATGCACCTTGAATCGCCACGGCAATAGCAGAAGCTGTATCATTGCATGAAACCGTCTTGTGGGAGGGAGTTTACTATTTTGGCGGCGCTGATTAATCATCTTGAGAGCGAGGTTTGTAAGCTTGTGAGATTTCAGCAGGTGCAGAAGGTTGTTGAGAGGATTGTTGATCCGCATATGATGATTTCGGTATAGGGGTAGGAGTTTGGGATGCTTTGGACTATATTAAAAGCAGGAACGAGGTTCGGGGTAATGGAGGAAAGGTTCTGGCACAGGAGTGATATCGGGATATTTGTAATTAGACGGTGCTTATGGTTAGAATAATCTGCAATGCGAGTTGCGGTATTAGATCGGCAACAGCGGAATATCCTCTCAGGCTTAGGGCGTCGAAATGAAGTGGCCTGAAAGGTGGCATAAGAGTGAGATGCAAAAAGCATAAGAGACGAAAAGGTTGAGTCACCTTATGCTAACTTAGACTCTATCTTAGTAGCCTGTGCCTTGGAGGATGATTCTTCTGTTCTCCAGTACATAGTAAGCAGTGTGTTCTATTTGTATCCTAAGATTAACGAAAGCACATTCAAAACCATCTACTTCTCAACCAATCTTCCTCCCAACCAAGCCTCAAAGCCCGCAAATTGAGGAACATGACTCCATCTCCCACAAAAGCTCTTCAGAGCTTCATTTTGCTGCCTAATCCAAAAACTCTGCTTCTCCGCTCTACTCCCAGTACAATCCAACAGCGGTCCAAGTTCCCAAGCCAATTTCGCGGCGTCAACTGGACACAGATAAGGCGGCACTTGACCATCTTGCCGAACACTGTTTACACCTTGCATCACGCATGCGTAGTAGGGACAGTGAGCGAAACCGAAGCAGTGGCCCAGTTCGTGGGATACTGTTACCGCCAGACGGGCGAACCAGTAGCTTGATAACTCATCTCTTGTTGTGAGTTTTGGGACGCGTTTGGAGGCTTGGACTGCGAGGGCGAGGGGGGATGTGGGTGGTGGTTTGCCGTAGGACTTGATGGTTGACTTTGTTCTTTTAGCGGGGGGTTCTTTTTCGAGGGTGCTGCATTCATTGTCGATGAATGTTTTGCAGTGTGAGTTAGGCCACATGTGCGCTCGATCTATACCTGCGGGTTCATCCAACGCAGGATTGTATCGAAATGAAGAAACGATACAGACTCTACTCCCGCCCCAAGCTCTTCCGACAGTGAAGTCATCTTCTTCATCTTCGTAAAGATCATAATCTGTAAGCATGACCACGGCATGAGCGTCTTTGGGTATTCTTCGTAAGAGTGCATCTGCGACGTCGCCTAAGTGAACCTGCTGTCTCGCTCGCCCGTCTAAAGAGGGGCGACATCGAATGTCCCATACTTCTGACTTTCCGGGAGTTTCTAGACCGATTTTTGTTGTTTTGGAGCGTGTTTTTGACTTTGGCTTTTCGTCCCAGACTTTCCATGTGAATGTGGCAGGATATTGCACAACGTCCATGCCATGGTAGAAACATCGTAGATACTCGATCAGATCGGAAACCTGGGGTGTCGAAGACGTCCACTTCTCCAAATCCCCAGCTCTTCCAGGCAGAATGGGTTTATGCCAATCCTTCATCACTTCCTCCAACTCTTCAGGAATCGTAGGCGGTAAGACGACATAGATTTTCTTTCTTTTTGTAGTAACTTTGTTCCTCTCCTCTTCATCAAGCCATTCTTTGAACGTCTGACCTTCGTCATCAGGATCCATGGCAAGTTCATCCTCTGGGAGGACTAAAGGCCCGGGGAATGTCCATGGGTCTTCTGTAATGGGGTTTCTTGGTCGATTCCCAGTTTGTGAGACTGCTCCTTCAAGGGGTGGTCTTTCGAAGCCTGCTTCTTGGGCGACGGGACTGCAGTCGTTGTATAATGAGGTATGATTGCACTTGACCATCTTTTTTTGCGGAGGATGAAGGGTAGATAACGCCAGGTATTCAAAACTGTGAAGTAAGAAGATGAGATAAGGTGGATGAAAGAGAAGTAGTTGTTGTGTTGGAGTTGCGTTGGTTTAGGCCACTTTCACATTGGTGACTGATCGACTTCAATTCTAAAAGCAATGATGATGAGAAATATTAAATCTGAGCTTACATTCAGTTGAAGATTATATACACAAAAAAAGTGTCTAGACAGAATAAAATAAGTATCAAAAGTGAAGCTAAATTACCGACGTCAGCAAAGCGTTGTTCTGTGCACGCTGTTGCCTGCCTTGGCTCATTTCATGTACTTGGTCCGGGTAATTTACCCTAGAGTTGTCATTGTGTTGGGACTTTTATGTCCACTACAACAACACTAACACTCTTACTTACCAAACCATCAAATGTCTTATTATCAATTCTGATATGAATGATTGAGCGTTTCAGTTGGGCTCAGTGTATACAATGTGGCGTGTGAGCGGTTCGGAGTTAAGCCTCAATTTCCGCATTACTTATTCATACTACCTATCTCACTGAACTAAGACTGATGATCTTCACATCAATTAGCCGACAACAAGATGACAAAACGAAAGCAACAGCCTCCACAGAGTAAGCTTCTTGAAAATAATCGTTTAGAGACAACAAGAGCTCACATATATAGCTCAGCTAGCCTTTGTAATACAAACTCCATCCAGCAAGTCGAACAAGAACAATGCAAAACTCGTCAGAAGCCATGCCGCACGCCTCCCATCTTCACGAAGACGTGAGAAACAAGTCAAGTCATGGATACTAAAGAAAGAAGACAAATCAACAGCACTGCAAATCCCTGATGGTTCCATACCAGGCCGTGTTGGTTCAAATCTATCTTTACTCGACTTTCCTGAACCGTTGAAGCCATATATGGAGAATGATATGTTTCGATGTACGTCTTCCCATCACTAAACCCCCGAAAACAGTCTTATAGATGATCAGGGTTCCACGGTATGAGAGGAACTCTCTACCCCCAAGAAATTTGTCTCCAAATCAATGCGCTTCACTCATCGTGGACGACAAACCTCCTCATCGACAACATCTACTTTCACGCAGTTCTCTTTTCTATAGAAACATATTTTAATCCGAAAGGTACACTTTCACACTTTCACTTTGCAAAGACATTGCGACTTTTACAGGAAAGATTGGATAGTCCGGATGAGAATGCTATTTCGGACGCTACTATCATGGTGGTTGTTATGCTGGGTTTGTCAGCGGAACTTATAGGTGACTCTGGTGCGGCGGAGAAGCATGTTGATGGGTTGAAGAGGATCGTTGAGCTGAGAGGTGGTTTGGAGGGATTGAGATTTGATAATCCTAGATTGCCAGCAAAGGTTTGCAGGTGAGTATGTACACTGTAGTTTTGAAAGTGATTACTCACGTTCTATAGGGTCGATCTCGGTCTTGTTCTTCGATTTGGCTGTAAACCTGTCTTCTTCACCAACGAAGACATATCCTGGAATCCATACCTCCCACCCCAAGTCCGTACGAAAAAGACCACACAACATCCCGAAGCATTCATCAAAACTCTAGACCCAAGACTAGCAAACGTATGGAAAGACCTACACGAATTCTCTACGTTAAGCAACCTCGCCTATCAAACAGACCGTAAACTCCAACCAAATACATTCAGCGAAATAATGATATCAATACTCTACAGACTTGTCGCCTTAACACCTGAGAATCCGGTGGAGAATGCTATCAGACTTGGTATGATGGTGTTTACTGCGTCTATTTTCTTTCGGTGGAGGGCTATGAAGCAGAGACAGGCTTATCTTGATGGTAGTTTTAGGGATGCTTTGGGGGAGTTGAGGAAGGCTTCTGTTCAACCACCCAGGGCTGTGGTGTTGTGGCTTTTGGTACTCTGGGAGATGAATATCAATGGGGATAGGTGTGGTGAGTTCTTGGATTGGACTTGTGAGGTTTTGAGAGATATGGAGATTAGTTCGTGGGGTCGTATAAGTGAAGTTCTGAAGATGGTTGTTTGGATCGATTGTTTGTTCGATGCACCTGGCAGAAGGGCGTTCGAACCGATATTAGCACAGGTGAGCGGACGACCCCGAGAGATTTGACTACAGCCTTTAATATACAATCTCTATGTATCTGGTCTAACTTGAAGCCATTTCGGTCTTCCAGAATCATAAACCCCCTCACAAGCCGCATCAACACAAACCCCCAAACTCCCAAAATACATCCCCCTCCCCGTCAACCCAGGTCCATAATGCGCATACTTTCCCGAATTCGTCATAATAGTCCTCGCAGACGGTGGTATAACTGGTTCTGTGACCATACACCAGCATGTATCCGTCAATATCTGCACCCCAAACTTCTCAAGTTGGGTTATGTAGCCTGCTTGTTCTGCTAGTTTGTATATCGATCGTCCGCATGTTACTACTACTGCGACATTGGGTGCTTTCTGACGGCCTTGGACTAGATGGGTGAGGTCTCGGAGTTCGGTGAGGGAGAAATGGGGATTGCCGAGGGAGAGAAGGTCGAGAGGTTGATTAGGCGGTGCGCTGTTGAGTTTATCCCAGCAGGCACCTAAATCACTGGGTTGAACTTGAAAAGTGGTGATTTCTGAAGCGGTGACTGCGTCGAGACTAGTCGCTTCTGGAGTTACACCCACGATGTGAAACATTGGAGCGCTGGAGACTGTTGCGAAAGCTGCACCAAAAGCTTTCAAGTCATCCGTCGACAGACCATATTTCTCAAGACCTGTCACCACCGGTATACGACTCGTTGATAATGTCCCAACATAGTATCCAAGAAGAGGCGGAAAGGAATCATCAAGCCCTGATGAATTCTTTACTCCTACAACGTTGACTTGTACTGAAGCCAGTCGGTTCACGTCAACATGAGGTCCTCCCTTCGGCGCCCTTCCCGTTAGAGCGATGGAAATATCCAGAAAATCAGGATATTTCATCGTTCGCGCTCCCAAAACGCTATTTGCGTAAACAACAGCATTACTCTCCGCCCAAGCAACCTGCTCTCCGACCTTTGGTGCACTATCAAGCTGATACGGCGCACAGGTATACGTTGCCTTGGCACCCATATCAACATACGCCTGTCCCAACTTATCAGCCGCTTCCCCAAATTCCGTGTCAACACCAAGCGCTCGCCATCGCTTTTGATCGACGGATATAGAGTTTAACGTTGTAGGGACGCGCACTTTACCGCCCCAGTCACGTAGGCGCTCTGCGAGTAAGAGTGTAGCTGGGCCGGTGTACACGCAGGCGTCGATATGGACTTGCGTTATGGACATGAGGCGTGTTGTGTTGAGGAGGTGTGCCATGCGGAGGACTATGCGGATTGCTACGCGGGAGGCTTCGCCGTGATCGCCGCGGAGGAGTTCCTGGTCGAGAGGAGAGAGCTTTATGCCCTCTAAAGCGGGTGTAGTTTCGAGGATGAGTCCATTTTCTGGCTTTGATAGCATCGGTGTAGTTGAAACATGACCATCATCCACATAAACCGTCTGTCCATCTAATTGAAGGAGCTGTCGAAAGTCATCTTTGGCAAGTACTACCACAGGAATAGATTGCTGAAAGACTTCTTCAGCAATCATAACACCCAACGTAAGAATATCCTCTCTCCGTTCAAAGATGATAGCTTCCGGAGCTTTTCCATTGAGGAGAAGCTCGAGCATAACTCCGCTGCCGGTACATGATCCTCGACCTCCTGGGATAGCGAGTATGGTGTTTTGAAGTTTCTGGCCACTTAGTGGATGATGGCGGTCTATGACTTCGCTTGTATCCGGATTGACACCGCCCCAGAAACTCAGTTCGAGATTGCTTGTGAGGAGTTTTGCTGAGGCTCTGCCTTGGACGTAGGCTGTGCCTGTCCATGTGAAATCTTGTACTGAACCCATCGTTGGTGGAGTATTTTAGATGCTGATCATTGTCCTCTAAACTTGAATGAAGTTCAGCTTTTTAGAGTAGGGACTGGCTTGTGATCTTCAACCACGAGTGTCTTTTCACTAGGTCGATATTAGTTACCGTATTTGAGGATCCCAAAGGGAAAATTCTGCCTGATCGATCGACGTTGACAACTCACATAGTCCAGACTTCGAGGCCCCAGCGTAGATCGCTTAGGAACAATACCGCTTCAACCCGTCTTTAGCACTTGAGATAGTCCCACTGGCGGTCAATACTTGAGAATCACCAATGGATCATTTGCAGTAGAAAGAGATACTGGTATTCTGCTTGTCAATCCTCGGCCTGTGAGAGGAACAACTTATCAACCCCGCATTGCACTATCTTTCTCCAGAACTCCATATTGACTATCAATCGGCTCGAGTCGGAAGGCAAACCCGGCTTCACGGATTCCGGGCCGGCAATTGATAGGACATAGCCGCGAAGAATGTGTTGTGGCTGAAATTGATGGTATAGACAACGGATTGAAGAAGTTTTGAAGGGAGGACAAGGATTGGATCAAATATGCGTGACCTAAGCGTTCCGATGATGACAGTCATTTTGCGAGATCTTACCTTCCGAATTGAGGTCCCCTGTCAGAGAGATATTAAATCCAAGTATAAAAGATAAACATTGGTGTCCTAAGCAATTTTATCATTAATCTATGGGCTATCAAGGTAAAGAATTCACGGACCTCCCCCGACTTCGGCTACAGCTGCCCCTTGCGTCATCCCGCTCTACTCCACTAAAACCCCAACTCAGAAGCTCAAGCTTCAACCAAAGCTCCCAATTTCAATCCCCGTTGACCACCGACTTGAAGCTTCATCCTCATAAGCTTCTCCACAATGCGCGTCGCAACAGTCTTGGCTTCAGCCTCTCTGGCAATCGCCTTTGACTGGCAACAAGTTCTCGGTACCGATAACAACAATAACGCGCCTGTTTTGAGTGACAGTGCTCCCTCGTACCGATCTGAGCTGTTGAGCTTGCACAAGTCTCTCATCGAGACTTCTTCCGTCTCAGGAACTGAGCATGATGTCGGTGTTTGGCTTGAGAAGTATCTTGAGAAGAAGGGATATACCACTGCGCGTCAGGAACTCGAGCCTTTTGAGAATACGCCGGAGGGAAAGACGCGGTTTAATGTGCTGGCTTGGCGACAGGATGGGAAGAAGGCTTTTGAGCCCAAGATTGCTGTGAGCAGTCATATTGATGTTGTCCCGCCGCATATTCCTTATGGAATTGATGATGGAGAAATCACGGGGGACACTATGATCACTGGTCGTGGAAGCGTTGATGCGAAGGGTAGTGTCGCTGCTCAGATCACCGCCCTGGAGAACCTTATCAAGGACGACAAGATTGATGCTCACAAGGTTCTTCTCCTGTTCGTCGTCGGCGAGGAGGTCAAGGGTGATGGTATGCGCCGTTTCAGTACCGCCCTCGAGGAGAAGGAGCTTCCATACAACCTGGACGCTGTTATCTTTGGTGAGCCCACCGAACTCAAGCTTGCTTGCGGACACAAGGGCATGTTGGGCTGCGATGTCACCACCAAGGGCTTCCCCGGTCACAGCGGCTACCCATGGTTGGGCAAGTCAGCCAACGAACTCATGATCCGAGCATTCGCCAAGATCTTCGAAACCGATCTTGGTAGCAGTGAGCTGTTTGGTAACACTACTGTCAATGTTGGTCGATACCATGGTGGAGTGGCAGCAAATGTCATTCCCGAGGAGGCCAAGGTCGGTGTGGCTGTTCGTGTCGCCAGTGGAAAGCAAGCCGACGGACACGTTGCTGTCCATGACAAGATGCAAGCCATCTTTGACGAAGTCGACAAGGACGCCTTCACTTTCTACTGCACCCACGGCTATGGTCCTGTCGAGGCCAACTGCGACGTCGATGGTATGTTCGCCGAACCCTATTGAGAGATCATTTGCTAACACGTTCAGGTTTCGAGAAAATCACCGTCAACTACGGAACTGACATTCCCAACCTCAAGGGCGACCACACACCATACCTGTACGGTCCTGGAAACATTTTGGTAGCACATGGCGCGCGAGAGAACCTGACCGTCGCCGATCTTGAGACCGCTGTCGAGGGATACCAAAAACTGATTCTTCATGCGTTGAAGCAATAGCCTGCTTGGCCTAAATAGAAACCCCAAACTTCCGTCCCTTTAGTCTATGTTGGATATGCTAGTATGATATGATATGGTAGCTTGACGCTCGAAAGAAACATGACATCGTAAATTGAGTGCTTGCTTAAGCGCCGGTAATCTTGGCCCATCGCTCTGGCAGGATCTTGCTGAAATCGAAGTTGCCATCTGGTCCCTTCTCAATGGCGCCCTTCTCGGTGACAACGGCGTCGATGAGCTCGGCGGGTGTAACGTCGAAAGCAGGGTTCCAAACGTTGATTCGCTGGTCGGCGGTAGCAACTCGCACCTTGCTGCTCTCATCCACAGAGCCATCGGGCTTGATGACGGCTCCAGTCACTTGCGTAAGCTCCTCCGCCTTTCGCTCCTCAATCTTGATACCGTCGCCAGTCTCGGTCTCCAAGTCAATGCTGGTGGTAGGGGCAGCGACGATGAACTTGACACCGTGATGCTTGGCCAGAACAGCGAGTTGGTATGTACCGATCTTGTTGGCTGTGTCACCGTTGCGAACAACACGGTCGGCACCCACGATGACGGCAGCGATGTTCTTCTCTTGCTTTCGGGTGCGGAAGAGAGATGCGGCCATGGAGTCTGTGATCAGAGTGCTGGGAATCTTCTCAAAGACTAGCTCGAAAGCAGTGAGTCGACTGCCTTGATTGTAAGGGCGAGTCTCTGTGCAGAAAGCGTGCTGAAGAAGGTCCTTGGACTGGAGAGTTCGGATAATTCCCAGGGCGGTACCGTGACCGGATGTAGCGAGTGATCCAGTGTTGCAGTGAGTAAGGACCGAGATCTTCTTGTCAGAAGAGGCACCAGCTTGTGATCGAAGCCACTCAGCACCATGGTCGCCAATGGAGAGGTTGGTCTGGAGATCCTTCTCAAAGATCTTCTCAGCCTCCTCGATGAAAGCAGTGATAACTTGGTCCTTTGAAGCAGTACTTCCAACTGATCTGATTGTTGCCTTGAGTTGGTTGATAGCGTTGGTCAAATCAACAGCAGTAGGTCGACTCTCCTTGAGGTAATCGAGAGCCTCTTCAATCTGGGAGATAGTGCCCTCGGCGTCTGAAGCAGTGACACTTCCATTCTGAAGCTCCACAGCCAAGCCAAGAGCTGCAACAATGGCGATGGCAGGGGCACCTCGGACTCGCATGGTTGCGATGCTGTCGAAAGCCTCTGTTCGGTTGGAGACTTCATCGTAGTGAAACTCGTGAGGAAGACGGAGCTGGTCAAGGACCTGGAGCTGACCGCGAGTGTACTTGACAGCCTGGAGAGAAGACATTTTGAACTTTTAATCTATAACAAAAAGATAATGAAGAAACCAAAATTTCATATGCTTCTATGCCCAACTCATCACCCAAAATGTTGCCCCTCCAAGATTCTGCCGCCACCCCACCATCAGAACAAAAATAGCGTCATATTAATCAACCAATAAACGACACGCGTGGATTCACCGCCTAAAACCGGACAAATGCCGCTTCCGGCGCAACATGATGAGCTAAGGAGCCTGAAGCACCCCTACGTCAACAGGGGTGTCTATCCCTAGTTCAGTCCACCGGAGCTCAGTTCGGGACAGCTTTAGCGATATCGTCTGGGCTGCTCATACTTGCTACTTGAACAAACAGCAATGACAAGTGCGCGTTCGAGCTGTTTGCCATGGAACAGCCATTCTCGACGTCAAAAGTGACTGGTAAGAGTCAATTCATTCGTGTTGATGACATGTCACGCTAACATGACACCTTGTCGCAAGTCGAGTACTTCGATCCTCACGATGTTTACAAGCTACTCGCCCCTGGTTTGATTCCTCGATTACCTCTACGAAACCTGAACTGGCAATCGCATGCTGGACCTCTGCGATCTATCGATACTCTTCACGTTGAGCTTCTTCAAGGAGATGACCCTGCTAGTGCAGATGCGGCTCCTTATACCCTCCGACGATCAGGGAGCACAGTAGACGATGGTTTCCAGCAACAGAACTTTGGAAGCGGGACTCAAGCGCCATCGGCTGATCAGATAGATACCCAAGCTTTGCCATCGAGGGCAATTGGAAGTCAGCGACGACATCAAATTCCTGGTCTACGACGGACACCTTACCTCAAGGTACTGCTGGTACGATGCGACGATAATGAAACATACAAAACCTCTGTTCGAACCGAGATTCGCGAATGGATCAAGGAACATATACCTTCTTCGACGAACCCGAAACGAAACAGCAAGCAGGAGAAGCACGATGCTTTCGATTACTTGATCTTACACGTGGTCCTTCCGAATACAGTGGCCTCGACACAGCCTCGAACAAGCGGACGGTCGGAGGGTGCTTCAGAGAAGAGCGGACCGCGATGGCGTACCGGATCGACACCTCTTTTCGAGAAGCTCCGTACTGACTTCTCTGGCCTTGGAAAGACAGCGCCAGATAGGGTTGCTCAGATCAGAATTGGAATCAACGATCTCCCTTATGATCAGCTTCCGAGAGTCGTTCCCGCAGTGCCGACGGGCTATCTGGAGGACGAGCACGATGCCGAGAATGCTTGGGCGGAGCTCATTGCCAAGTTGAAGAGCCTCATTCTTACATCTTTCGACCAACGTGTGCTTCAATATGAAGAAGATATTAAAGAAAAGGACGGCCAACGAACTTTACCCGGGTGGAACTTTTGTACCTTTTTCATACTGAAGGAGGGTTTGGCAAGAGGTTTTGAGAGTGTTGGACTTGTTGAGGATGCATTGGTTGGATATGATGAGCTTAGCGTTGGACTTGACTCTGTTGTCAATGAGCAAGCCGACGAAGGATCACCTACTAGACATGGAGGCACGATGCTCAGTTACACCGAAGAGCTCAAGGAAATTGTCAACGCGGCTCTTGCCAAGTCACCTGGCGGAAACAATGCGGACGAGGAGGCTGTTGATCTCCAGTCAAATGAGACCATCAAGGAACAGTTTGACGAGATCCCTATCAACGCCACCAAGAAGGCCTACAGAGACAAGATTCTTGCCAACGATGTTTCGGTGTTTGACTTCAGATGCTACATTTTTGCACGACAGATCGCACTGCTTTTACGACTAGGAAATGCTTGGTCATCCAAGGAAGATCTGCTAGACAAGCTCAAAGAACAACAAGAATCTGTCTTGCATGGAGTTGCTCCTCTAGCACCTCCTCCAAAACCCACTGACGACGTGGAAAACTTGTCTAGTCTTGGTGAGATATGTCGAAGGACTTTACAGTTCATCCCGGCTGTGTCTCAGATTATGCGCCGAGATATCCTCACTGCTGTGGCATCAGACAAATCAGATGACGACGAGTCACCTATAGATCCTAACCTTTCTGAGGTCATGGACAATGTCGTCGCTTCATTTGCCTTCTCTGTTGCTCAGCAGATCCTTGCGCAAACAGCATCAAAGTCGCTACCCATTCCTCCATCAACCCTCGCGCCTGCTCAGAGCGAAGAGCAAAAGAGCTCCATCCCTGAGCCCAAGACCATGATGCACCCTGCCCGTACCACATCACTTCATGTCACAACGGGCCAGGCACCTGGAACTCGTCCCCCACCTAGCCCCGGTGTCTTTCCCGGCCCAGGCATGCCTCAGATCAATAATGATCAGGATGCTCAGTTTCTCAAGGCAGGTCTCGAGGACTTGGCTGCTAGACGCGCCGAGCTTTACATGCTTTCCCGAAGCATTCTTGATGGCCTAGGCAAGAAACGTGGATGGAGTGATGGCTGGAAGGAGGCGCCTATCATCGCAGAAGCCGAGGCAGATTTTGAAGAGATAAGCTTGGATGACCCGTCTTCGGGAGATGCTGGTGCTTCAGAAGAAATTCCACCCTTGGACATGGGTGTCAATAACAGCCTTCTTCAAACTGCGATTGACAACCAGGACAACTTTTACCGTCTGTATGAGATCCTCACAGACAAGGCACTTCGACACTATACTGTCGCAAACCATGATCATGCTGTGCAAGCCAGTATGGCAGATCTTGCTGTGCTTAAGTTCTTCCTCGAGGACTTTGGTGCCGCCGCGTCGTATTTCTATAGGGCAACGCCTTTCTTTGGTGAGAGCGGATGGACTTCGCTGGAGCTTTCGATGCTTGTCATGTATCTGCACTGTCTTCGCGAGATGAAGTCAAAGGATGACTATGTCAGGGTCGCTCTCAAGCTATTGACCAAGTCATGTGCTGCTGAGCATGAGAGGCTTGAGCAGCGCTCAAAGAGAGTTTCAAGCATTGGAAAGCCTGAGCCTGCAGATGCGATGTCGATGAAGGGAGTTGTTGGTAATCTGTTTGATTTGGCTTCGTCTCTGTCTCAGCAAGTCAAGGTTCATCTGTCCAAGTTCTTTACTAATATCGAACTTGCTGGCGCTCCTGAGTATTTTGAGGAAGAGGACAAATGCTCGCTGACCATTAACCTCTGGAGTCTACTGCCCGATGATATCAAGCTTGATGGAATTGATGCGCGAATAACGGCTACCGAGCCAGGACCTACTAGAGAATTGAAGTTCTCGAGAACAGGAGAGATTGTGTTACATCCTGGTCAAAATTCAATCACAGTCGACTGCACAGTAAGTTTCTCTGCCAGCTAAGAAAAGGCCAAGCTAACCATTTCAGTCTGTTATTCCTGGAAAGTACAAGATCGATCATCTTGGTTTGTCTTCAAGCAACCTCTTCCTTCACTTCGAACGTGATTTCAACACACCGCCCCCACCAACAAGCGACATCTTTAGACATCCTGAGGTCATCATCTTCCAACGCGAGGGTGCCCTGGATGTACAGCTTACAGCTACAAAACATACTGCCTTGGACAAGAATAACACTCTGGATCTTGTCCTTGACCCCGGCTGGAACTCTATCAAGAAATGTGAAATCCGGATTAAGCCAACCACAGGCGGTCTCAGACTGTTGACCATTGAAGCCAAGGTTGTCGACTCCTCGGTTGAGTTCGCAAAGAAGCCTGAATCTGGTGGTGTCATTCATTTCAATGAGATTGAGGCCGAGACGCCTGTTACCTTGCGCTTTCCTTACTCGGTTGAGCAGGATATGGCTGATGTTTCCGCCAAGGTCGACGTCTCTTACACTGTTGAGTCAGGTGAGAAGTACACCTTTGCCAAATCAATCATGATTCCTATCTCCTTGGCTTTGGGCGTCAACGTGCAGGATGTCTTCAAGCATCAAGCCCTCTACTCCCGCTTCAATGTGTCTACTGCGAGCCACAGTCCTCTACGCCTTTACAAGAGCGAGTTGATAGAGTCGGACTTGTTCGAATCTGAGTTTGGTGTTCCGCCTACTGACTCAACGATCGTGTTCTCGAAGCAACCCGCTACATTGCTTTATCGTGTCAAGCGAAAGGCCAACGTCAGATCAGCCAAGCGAGCTGCGAGGACTATGTATCTGAAGCTTTACTACAATGTTCTTCAGACAGAGATCGAGGACGCTCTTGTGAATTCGATATTCGAGGCCCTCGACGATCCTGGTTTGTCTTCGTTCTCTAAGCTCATTAGGGCAGTAGTCACTAGAGAAGCAAAGACATTGTTGCCCATTGATCTCGAACGAGCTGCACTACTAGGGGCGGTATCTACCAGCTTCCTAGCTGAGGCACCGTGGGACAAGCACTTTGCCGGCATTGGAAAGGTACCTGGCACGGAGCAAGATGCAACAGAGAGAATCTCATCTGCTGTCAAAGCCTGGCAGATTTCCAACGCACAAGTCCCAATTTCAGCAACCCAGCCAGATGATCCATGCACTCTTCTCATCCCAGTCGAGATTCCTTCACTGCCTATCCTTCACACAGCCGATATACAGCTTCAAACTCCAGTGACAGAGCTGCTCGACCAGAAGCCAGGCGTGGTTCCCACCGTAGCTATCAACCAAATGCTCCCAGCTACCCTTCACCTAAAATGGACACAGGTCTGGGACACTGAGATGCAGCACAAGAAGGACATAGAATACAGCTACGAAGTCTCCGCTCCGGGCGACACATGGCTTCTCGGCGGTCGTCGCAAAGGCCACTTCGTCATTCCTGGCTCCAAGAAGGAACCCCTCTCTTCATCATCCGACACAGAGGCTCAAGTTCCTCTCATCTTGATCCCTCTTCGCGAAGGCTGGCTGCCATATCCTACCATTGAGATTCGCGAGGTAAAAGATGGTGTTGAGAATGAGGCGCAAACGTGCGAGTTGGACTTTAGAAACCTGGGTGAGTCGATACGGGCTGTTTGTGAGAGGAAGGGCGTTACTGTTAGCTTGGATGCGAGCGGGCCTGGAGGAGGGCCGTTGGTGTTGGAAAGTGAGGAACCTAATCGGGAGAGAGGGAGGATAGTTGCTTAGATTTGTTAGGCGTTTAGCTGGGATTGTAATACTATGTTATTTGATGGCAATGTTCCTCTTGATTAAATCTACGGGCACTATGGCAGTCCATTCTTGCAGATACACTGATTAGCCTCGCGACAGATCGTTATCTGAGCACATTGTATTCTCATCCCAAGACAACCCTAAACCAGATGAAACTCATCTTCACAACCTCACCATGATGCAATACCTACTCCTTCCCCTCCTCATCAACAGGGATACACACAATAAACATCAAACAACCACCCTCACTTCTAAACGGTCCATGCCGCATCCCGGGTTTCCGGTACGCATAAGCGCCCTTCTCCCATCCCCGCTGCAGATGTTCGTCGTACAAGTCCCCCTCAGCCATGTATATCTCCTCAACATAATCATGCACGAAAACGTCCTGCTTGTTGCGCGCGCCGGGCTGCCAGCGCTGCAGGGTTGTTCGACGGCCTGTCTGGGTGTCTTGGTTGAGGATGAGTTCGTCTACGCCTGGTTCGATGGGGGTCCAGGTGCGGTTTTGGGATGCGGGATGGAATTCGAATTGCTCCATCGTTTATTGTATGTATGTCTTTTATTTCTGATTATTGGTAAGATGTATGTATTCTGTGTATTCTGATTGACTGATACTGTTACACAAATGCTGCAAGTATGGAATTCTATCTACTCCGTCTTAAATCCTCCAACATTGAAGCTTTCCTTGAATTACGAGATCGCAATGAATGATATCATTTGTAAGCTTACGATGACAAATGAAGCAACTCCCGCATTCTCCCGCCAAAAGAGAGCAAGTCTAATTAATACCTTGGAAGAGGCAATCGGACGCATTTTGTAATAGCTTGGCTTGTGAAGAGGCAATGAATTCTTCACTCTGCTTCACTCACACAAGTCTACGAGACCTCTGATAATATTAGTGGCTGACTGGTTTGGTTGCAGCCCGACAGAATGCAGCCCATACTGACATACACCGAAATGTAACAGTATCAAGTCCTAGATGAGCTAGAAGCACAACGAATATTCTGCAGCTCCATTATAGAACTATAAATACCTTGTTATCATTACATTTTGAAATAAGATCGTGGGGGTACCGTAGTGGTCCAAAGTTGGGCTCATCCTAGACTCATATTTTATATGCTAATAACAAAGCCAGGTCATTGACTCGCATTGCCAAAATATGAGTCTAATCTTGGTGCACTATTAGCTTCGGATACCATTTGAACCGTTGGGTTGCATCCCTTTCGCATCAGATAAAAATCACGGTGAGATATGCAGGATTGAGATCTGCGCTCACGAGGCGTCTGCGAGTCCATATTCAACGCCCACTCGGAGACTTTGATCAAGACGCTCAAAGGGTCATGGGGAAACTAAAGCTCGATGTTGAGTTGCATCAGAGGGTAATGCATATTCAAGTATCCAATCGATTCCTTGGGACCCAACCAAAAACCCATGTTTTGGCTGAGTTGTTTCATGCCGTAGCAGCGACATAAACTAAGTTAGTGAGTTTCCAGGGATATAGACCGGCAAATAAGACAAGGTGACAGCTTGAAAGTTTTAGTGTCCAGGACATTCCTCCCATTCTCAAACAATTCCCCATGATCACCACGACCATAGAGGTGAGAGCAGTCCGTCGATCCGACGGCTAGTGACTTGGTAGACCGGAGCAGGGCGGATGATATCGTAATGGATAGTCACTGAGATGCCGAAGAGGCGAGGAGGTGTTACACAGCAGCCAGACTTCGTAAGAAGAAATCGACTGAGGTGGGACAAACACCGTCACGAGCATCTAAGACACTGCTCTCGATTTCATACAGTACTATACTGTACCTACAGCACGCAGACTAGAGTCTGAAACACAAATCCAAAGTCTTGGATGCCGATAATGCCGTTTGCATTTGTCTGAGTAGTTCAGATCAACTGTGCATAGTCTACTGTACTCTGTACAGAGACGGAGCCCAGCGGGGCACCTGTCAAATGAAGAGGCGTTAATATACTCTGTGTTAAGATCTTCAAAACTTGAGTGGCACGTCGACTGATAAACGTTGCATTGTCAAAAGGGCGCTGCTCCAAAAAGCACATGCACATAAGCAATGTTGTAAACGATTGGAATTGTACATCCATAGCATGTAACATTGGTGAGAGTTGAATTGGTGAAACGCATCAACGGGAACCAAGATAACCGGCGTCAGCCACCCGATGAGACAGACCAATTCAGCTTTGGGGCTGAGACAAGGCTCTTCCTCTGTTTTGCGTGTGATTGTGACAGAACATGCTTCTCGACCTCTTGTCCAGTCCTGTCCACCGCTACATTGACGTTCCTTTCTCACGAGGCCCAAGCCAAGTAGTGTGAGCGGGGCGGTACTGCCAAGAGCCGACATCGAGTGGGCCTTTTAGACAGAAGAGGATAAAGATTTCCGTGGTCAACTCCAAGTCGTGGGATGGACAACAAACGGAAAGAAGAGGATCAGCAGAAGTCAAGGACAGGATCAGAGGTGTGCATGAGGTTGATCAAAGGACTTGCGTCCACTAGAAAGACACCGCAATTAACACGAACAACGTTCGTTGTTAGGGGACCACAAGTCTTTGGGTCTTCGGTGTTTTTGTTCTTCTCTCTGGATCATCGTGAACATCCTCATACAACAGCAGACAGCTCACTCGACGAGAAGAGGGGAGCTGCCTAGCGATACTACCTGTCACTTGCGGTTCAAGAGTTTGGCAACTAGTCGGTGCCCAACGAGTTCGAAACGAGGTTGACAGGTTGGGTTTTGCCCCATAACACCCATTTTTTGTCAGTAGCGATATAAAGGACCCCTATTAAACAACCGCTCGGCCGAATAAGTGTCTCCGAATGCTCGGCCACGACGCGTACTGCGATTCTAAGCGAAAGGCTTCAAGGCAACGTGATGGTGAAAAATCAGGTTCAGCTCATGACATGATGAGGCCACTGCCACGACCGACACTTGCTGTGACATTGAGCGTATCGCTGTCGCTTCGTGGCCCTCTATTTTGAATGGAGACCTCTCACGATGACTTCACTTCTGACAGGCCCGGCAGTTTTGTGACGGGGGAATATTTAGGCGAGGAAACGACAACAACGAGTTTGGTTACAGTTGTCTTAAGACGACAAGCTCAAGGATGAAAAGAACCTTCAGTCGGCTACAACCGCGAACCACTTTTCTTCCACGTTTCTTCTCACAGCGATAGTGATACCCTTGTAGAGAGACGCTGGACGGTGCGAGGAATGACGAAAAGATAGCGATCATCATATCTCTGACTAGGCCCGCATATCACAATCTGAGGGGCCGAGAGAGTTACGGTACAAGCGACCGTCTTGGACTGTGCGGTCCCGGTAAGCGCAATAGTGACGAGTGATAGGCAGTCAATGGGGTTTCGAAAGACGGTCACCGTTTCGATGCCTTTGGATCTTCAAGACTCATGTTTCGCACTCCAACGCAAGACCTGATGCCTTGGGACTTTGTAAGGAAGTCAACTCGGAGGAGTGCAGATCCATGACATCAGCCCAGTTGAAGGGGGTAGGTTGAATTGGAGGTACCTGGACCCTAGCCGCTGGGTGGCGCTCTGTGTTTCCGGCGGCGGCGAAGATGCAACCCCAAACCAGTGAATTGAGGGATGAATGAAGCAGGTTGATGACAGCCGTGGGATGGGCCCTGTCGATACGCGAAGCAAAATTGTAAAGCTTCAATAGTCCCGGGAATCAAATGCCATATCGAAGGCTAAAAACATAGCCAAGAGCTGGTACAGCATGATATGCGGTGTAAGTGACTGAACTGTTACAGTATTGTACTAGACGGTACAATAGCGTTTCTAGCGCACCGGCTGTAAGGCGATCAGCTCAGTGGTTGACCGGTAGTGATCTTTCGGTTCAAGTTCCATAATTGTCGATTAGGTGACGCTTCTGTAAAAGATTTGCAAGTCGAGTCACAAGAGTTGAAAATCAGTTCCGAACTCGGTTTTTTGACCGACACCGCCGCTCAAGGGTTGAAGAAGTGAACATAGTAGACAGTAGTAGACACTGTATCGTAGTGGTTTAAGGATATTGGGGATTTTGTCGCAGTTGCGTTCAACCTGCGACGACGTATTTAGTGGGTGATAGAGGGTCCAAGAATAACGGGAAACGGGATACTAGAACCCAATCACAGTAGCGTATTCAAGACGGTTGGCTAACGCCGGCGATCTCTAGCAAACAAAGGGACGAAGACGGAGGACCAGTTCCCATCATTGGCAAAGGAACGGTTGAAAGAGAACGAACAGTGCTGTGAGCACAGCAACGACCCGCGTGTAGTGGGATAGTCGCTGGATTTCAGAGGGTTGCGCCTCCGTTGAAAGAGCTCCGAGCCCCCTAAGTCCACTCAAGGCTGGCCACTTGATAGGCTTCTGAGCGTCGTTCACTGTATCGGACAGGGATGTCGAGCGTGGAGCGGGCCTCAACCGTGGTCTGCAAGGGCCAGCAATTGCGTCACGACTGTGTGCTGATCGGCCAAATTTTGCAGGCTTCTCATGAGGAGGCTTGGCCTTGGGGGTTTCTGAGGCTCGGATGGTTTCCCTGTGGTCGTCTAAATTCTTGGCCGACCTAGCGGCGGGGGCGTTGTTTGTTTTTCTAATTAGGCAGGGTGAAGGGGATTTGATTGTCATTATGATCGTGATTAAGGAGATTTCTTTTTGGTGAGTGGTTTTCCAGACGGTCCTTTTTCTCGAGTCTTATCGTGCCTTCCTTGTTACGGATCTCGACATTATCGTGAAGCGACAATCTCAATAACAATGACATCAACATAGCCGCGGTGGAGGAGAGTGTGAACTGAAAGGGCAGTGCTCCTTCCACAAGTTTCCTTTTGGGGGCTGCCGAGTCGCGTGGAAGCAAGTTAGTGTCAGTGTTAGTGCCCCTACCCTGCCATCCACTGGGTTGCTGTCATCCAATCCAGTCAGTGGATGAAAGCTGTTTCCTCCCCTGAGGTGCGACATTGATAGTCTAGGGCCGAGTACTAATGACAGCTATTCGAAAAGGTATAGCTCCATGCAATCAATACCAAAAGATACCTCTGCATGTGTGGTTCATGTAGTACTGCGCATGTAGATCTCAAGTCTCATGACTCCCTGTTCTGTCGTCACTTTCCTCTCTGGGAACGTCCAAGTCCATTGTATCTTTCCAAGGGTCTCCCGTCCTCTTCCCTGGGACCCAGCGCGATGACACTGTAGCTACGTCCTTCCAGAGAGCCCTTGATCTGACTGCCGGATTGCCTGGTCTGGCCTGCTACGGTACGGAGCATTAAGTGGTACCTGCTGCGAGTAGCATGGAGTGCACTGTATTATACAGTACGGTCAGCTCCAGCTCCAGTCCAGCTCCTCCTCCAGCGAAATTATCAAATTGACAAGAAATCCACTTTAACATTCCCATCCACATTTCGTCCATACCCCTTCCCCTCTTTTGTCTCTTGCTTTTTCTGTTCTGGGTTCGCTCATTCTTGCACCGGCCGGGTTCTTCCTTTCTGCCACCTGCCACCTGCCATTCCCACTCCGAACCCGACCCAACACCTGCCCTGAGCCTGCCCTGTCTCGCCATTTCAAAAAGAAGGGTCCTCCTGCCTGCAACCGTTTGCCGTCTATTGCCTCTTTAAACTTTCATAATCCAACCCAATCCATCGTTTGCGCCTTGGAACTTGTTGCCACTGCCGGGGTTGGCTATTCGTCGTCATATTCTTTTGAGAGTTTCATTCAATTAACTTTCGGTTCGTTCTTCTTTTTATTCTATTCCATCTTCGTTACTACTATTTGTTCCTTCTTTCGGTTATTATTCATTTATCCAGCTCGTATTATCAACCAACCTGTTAGTTATCCCCTCTTGTCCAGTCTGCTTTCTGCCATCCCTGAGTGTGACGTTGCCAGTGCTACCTTTTGCTTTTTTCTTATTGCGTGCTGCTGCTGCTCTTGCCATTACAAAATTAATCTTGCCTGCATCACCAAGATTATCTGCTGACTTTCGCACTTGCTCTATGCAGGATCATTATCTCCGGAACTCAACAAACCTTCCATCACCTGCCACGATACATTCACAAGTTGGCCGCCGAGACCATAAGAGACGAAATAATTCGGTCATTTTATCAAAGCTTAGACAAGTCTTTGGACCAATTACTCCTGGCGCCTAAACTTTAGAGCACAATTCTATTAGGCAAAGCAGGCTAGTTATTCTCTGACCGCCACCTTCGACCTGCGACTTCAGTCCAGCTCCGACAACAAAATCGTCAATTTCACCCAATCCACCCGCTCTGTTGTAAACTCCGACGTCAGCCACCGATCCCACGATATTATCGAAAGGGTGTTACAGAGTTTGATCTGCCTTTTTCAAGCCACGACTCAATCGCGATTTGTTTCGAAGTCATTTTTGGCTAGTCTAATCGGTCTCTCCGCGTGTCGACTCCGCCTTCTGGACGCCATCTAGAACGAAACGCCAGCCTCATTACACCTCGAGTGGATCCAAATCGTTGCCCCCTCGCAAACCTGCATATTCCAGCATCGAGACCTTGAAACCACGTGGACTATTTGGTCTCGACTTCTCCCACTCCACATTACTCGAAAGTCCACGCGATTACTTGCGACACCTTGACCAGCACAGCATTGAGTCACAGCCAGCTTGAGCTCTGACCCCTTAATACTGTCGCTGTACACATTCCTGTGAATGTGTCAATAAAGTCTCGTGCGACAAGTGACGATCTTACCCGGCATTCGATATACGAACGACTCGGATTATATACACTATACTATCATGGCAGTCAACGAACTCCCCAATGCTCCTTCGGAGCACCCTCACCACATCGCTCGATCGGATTCCTCCACATCATCAAGTCCTTCCGATCACCATGACCACGACAACGAGCACGAGGAGCCTATTATTCACCAGCCCGTACCCATCCGACCTGGTCTCCCTCAGAGAAAAAGCAGTGGTCCATTAGTCGTTCCCCGCGATAGCTCAGCAGTTGGTCCCCTCGAGCCTGACTTTGGCCCGGATGACGTCAGGGCAATGAGCCCCAGGAGAACGAGTGAGGATCTCGATAGAATTGGAAAGGCTGCTCGGGAAGAGATGAGAAGGTAAATATTTCCAACACTTGATCTGTTGCAATCGCTAATTTTTGTAGACACGCCAAAGCCCTGCAGGACTCCCTTCTTACCATCTTCAACCGTATCGAAGCCGTTCGCGAAGAGCACGACAAGCTTGATAACAACAACAAGTTCTTGCAAAAGTACATTGGCGACTTGATGAGCACTAGCAAAATCACGGCCACTAGTAGTCAACGCAAGAAATAAGTTATCCTATATTTTACTGCCAGGCTCTACCCCTGGATAGTTTCGACAACAATCATTCACCATTTCGACTGTCTGGATCCGTCTAGACGTACCCTTTAGAAGCATTCGATATTATACTTGGGATTCGCGACTTTTTGGGGCCCTTGTTTGGGCATGATACCCGCGCTTTGACAGCGCAGTTACTTGGACTCGCCTTTTAGGGCTGAGTAAAAAAACTTTTGCATTTTACAACACTGTACAATAACGCATTATGAAACCGGGAGCAGATCCCTCACGAAGGATCATCGCATGGTGGGAGCACACTGGAGCTTTGGTTTTGAGGTTTTGCATGATGCTGTATCACCTGCATTGCGCTACGTCCAGTTTAGGGTCACTGAACCCCGTACGCACGGTTTTGGCGTTTTGAGATTCCAGCATTCAAGGTTCAATGTCTGGTGTTTTTTTGTATTCTACCACGGTATTACTATACGGATTTACTGTAGCTTCTATGTATAGAGGCTAGAGACTTGGAGCGGAGTGATGGGTATGGTTTTACTGACATGTTCCTGCCAGTGGTTTACGGTATGGAACGGAGTGAGGTTCGTAAAAAGAGTATCATTGTTTTTAGTGAAGTGTCTGTCCTTTTGAGAAATGATACCACAATGAATGGCGTGAGATGTGTTGTAGCCTTAGCTCATTAATAGATCGAGATTCAAAACAAGATGACAGTCCTTTGACGGTGAAGTGATGTCCAATCTCCACACGAATAGTCTACCCCATTCAGTAGAACGAGCGACTAAGCCCGTTTGTGATGATATTGCTGCAAGATAGATCGGATGGTATGCCCCTTGGTACATTAGTGCCATCACGGAAGTGATGGATCCCCTTCCTTCTTTTTCCCGCCCATGGTTCCGGGCCGAACCAACTGACTCGCCTATGCACACTTGTCATTTATCTAGAATTTTTCTTTTTTTCTAGGTGCATTCTGTTGTCAGAATGACCCCCGTGTTAATTCCAGCCCGGTGGAGAATAAAGTTTTACCACAAATGTTTGATATCGCAAACTTTCTCATGGCTGAAGCATAGTGCCTTTACCGGCCACATGGTCGGCCGCACCGGTTTCGTTGAGAGGAATGGAGGCTGGCTGAAGGACCTTACCGTACGGGGAAGAGTAGAGTAAACTAGTGAAGGATGAATATTTCCGAAGGGTCGGTGCTAAGTGGAGTTCGATAGTTTTGTTTCCAGAAGGGCGAGTTGCTTTTTAGTGAAGGGGTTTTTTTTTTTTTTTTTT